GGCTGTTTCAATGATCAAGTTCATCGGAATTCTAGATTGCATGAAATATGATCTACATTTGTGTTCTTCAGTCTGACATTAGAAATAGTCTTAAGGTTTCTTCGCATATGCAGTGACACAACATTCGTAAAACTGTTAGAAATCAAGTGAAGCCGAGGACCCCAATGTCCCGAAATGTATTACTGAGGGTCCACTTGGCTCGATGATACACAGTGAGTGAGTGAGTGAGTTGGATTTAACGCCGCTTTTAACGGTATTACAGTTATATCGCGGCGTGTCAGCTTAATGTGGGAGGAAAGTCCGAAGTGATGCAGGTCTCAGACGTTTACCACTTCGGTATTGGTGCTGACAAACCTAGAAACATAATCGAGGCGAACCGGGATTCGAACCCACAATCATAGGTTACTGGTGTTCCCAAGGGACGCAACTCTGCACAGCGAATCGCGGCGCCTTAGACGACAGGGCCGACTAGACGACTGCTCAATTAGTTCACGTTTGGCGATCTAATTTGAAATCTTAGGTCGATTGTATTCTATAGCAAAGAGTACTTCGATATAACATGTTATGAAGTATCTGTGCCAAATACCGACATATGTCGTTGAAGGATGACAGTAGTATGAGTCCTTCACATTATAATCACAGGTTAAAGGTTGATGAGTATTTATCGACATATTCCTCTCTTTTGACATACGCCATTCAAACTGGTTCTTGCACGGGGTACCGTCTATGTTATCTCAACCAACAGACCAAGCCGGTAGTTCTTGACATATAATATAAACTATTACACCCCATATCCCCTGTCAAACAGCATAACATTAGAACGCTTTCAACTTTACGGAACGCCAAACGCTTTCAAACTTGGATGTAATAACACCACAGCCATGAGGAAAGTTTAGACTTTCGAATAGAAATTTAATCGTCCGTGGCACAATATATGTGCGTCTTGAAAGCTCGTTGACTTTTGTGGAAATTGTTTTGTGGCCTACTATATAAATCTGTCATTTGACACCCATAACGATTAACAAGGACATCTTTTCATATGTAGGGAAGGAGAGCTGACGTTGTCAAATACTTGACAGGTCCGCGAAGAACGTTCGTGGTCTGTTGTATTCTGATGTTTATGCCTATTGTAATTATAACCAAGCACAGTCGGTGCTAGTTCCTACATGTAGGCCATGTTTCCAAGAGGGGGCGACGGGGTAGCCTAGTGGGTAAAGCGTTCGCTGGTCATGCCAAAGGACCGGGTTTGATACCCGGGTTGTTGGATGTTAATGTCTATTGTTATTATAACCAAGCACAGTCGGTGCTAGTTCCTACATGTAGGCCATGTTTTCAAGAGGGGGTGACGGGGTAGCCTAGTGGGTAAAGCGTTCGCTGGTCATGCCAAAGGACCGGGTTTGATACCCGGGTTGTTGGATGTTTATGTCTAATGTAATTATAGCCAAGCACAGTCGGTGCTAGTTCCTACATGTAGGCCATGTTTTCAAGAGGGGGCGACGGGGTAGCCTAGTGGTTAAAGCGTTCGCTCGTCATGCCAAAGGCCCGGGTTTGATTCCCCGCGTGTGAAGCCCACTTGTTGGTGTCCCGCGCCGTGATACTGCTGGAATAGCATACAGACAGATATTACCATGCTCGACATACAGATAAATGGTCTATGTAAAGATCAATGTATACACGACCGGTCACATTGTACATTAACTTACGTAAATCACAATATGATGTTCAACCAATTAACATCTTTAAAATGTGATGGTTGTCTCATAATGTTGTTGTTGTAGTTGTTGGGATACGATGACATGCTTCAACCAAGTCAGCGAGCCTGACCACCTGATTCCGTTAGTCGCTTCTTACTGCAAGCATAGTCGCCATTTACAGCAAGCATGTGTCGCTGAAGACCTATCTTGCCCCAGTTTGTCTCATAATGAAACCCCGTAGTGTAACCAATTTGAATAGCATGATAGGAACTAATGATTTACCACGTAGACAGGTACGTAGCACGTAAAATGGACTTAGCTCGTAGACAGGACTTAGCACGTAGCCAGGACTTAGCACGTAGACAGGACTTAGCTCGTAGCCAGGACTTAGCTCGTAGCCAGGACTTAGCTCGTAGACATGACTTAGCTCGTAGCCAGGACTTAGCTCGTAGCCAGGACTTAGCTCGTAGCCAGGACTTAGCACGTAGACAGGACTTAGCACCTTGATTGGACTTAGCTCGTAGACAGGACTTAGCACGTAGACAGGACTTAGCTCGTAGACAGGACTTAGCTCGTAGACAGGACTTAGCACGTAGACAGGACTTAGCTCGTAGACAGGACTTAGCTCGTAGACAGGACTTAGCACGTAGACAGGAATTAGCACGTAGACAGGACTTAGCACGTAGCCAGGACTTAGCACGTAGACAGGACTTAGCACGTAGACAGGAATTAGCACGTAAAATGGACTTAGCACCTTGATTGGCCTTAGCTCGTAGACAGGACTTAGCACGTAGACAGGAATTAGCACGTAAAATGGACTTAGCACGCAGATTGGCTTAGACTGCTAAACATACGACACATAGTTCTTTTCAACGTTCTTCCAAAGGCCTAGCAGTGCTTTAATCGCCTGTACCGCTACCTGATACAAGCGCATGTTGTGCCACCTGCTTGACATGGCGCTGTTGAACGGGCGGTTTATTTCTTAAATGTATAGGCTTGACTGCCTTCAATGGCGGGTATTGTGTTGGTTCTTTCGCTTGTTTGTTGTTTGCTAAGGCCATAAACCGGCACACAACCCGATCTGCCAACAACTTGACACCCAGGTTAAGTCTGAAAGCAATTAATGATCGGTTATGGGGATCGAGCAGGTATAATAGAGCCGGGAAGGCTCCCTTTAAAAATTTCTGTTTCTTGTGTAGGGTTTGTTGTTCGTAACACTGTTGGGAGTTTGGCGTCTCCATGGTTACAAAGATAAACAACTTGGAGGAAGCAACAAGTGGAATTTCCGGAAAAATGATGCATGTTGTTTCTTCTGTTGTTTTGGGTTGTTTCTATTCTAATATTTGTCACAGTCTATCTGTCGTACTGTAATGAGGATGGTTTAATGTTGTTTAACGCCGTACTCAGCAATATTTCAACTAAATGACGGCGGTCTGTAAATAATCGAGTCTGGACAAGATAATCCAGTGATTGACATCAAGAGCATCGATCCACGCAATTGGAATAAGATGACATGCATCAACCAAGTCAGCGAGCCTGACCACCTGATCCCGTTAGCCGCCTCTTAGGACAAGCATAGTCGCCTTTCGGCAAGCATGTGTTGCTGAAGACCAATTTTTACACGGATCTTCACGGGTATGTAGAAGTAGTAGTAGTAGTAGTAGTACTTGTAGTAGTAGTGGTGGTGGTGGTGGTGGTAATGGTACTCTGAACTCTGTTAGTGAGTGAGTTAAAGCTTTACGTCACATCGGCAATATTTCAGCCATATCGTGACGAGTGAACTCTGTTAGAATGTAACTGAGAAAACAAATTGATGTATGGAGAGTATTAGGATCAGTTGGGGGTCTACGTGACAGTCTTTCTCGGTACTTCACATCATTAAGTGCCGTTCAAGGACAGTCAGCTCTAGGCTATGTTTTGGGAAACACTATATCGTACGACAGGAGCTTTAAACCAGCGCTAATCCCCGAATAACAAGGCCGTGGGGACACTCGAAATGAGGCTTTCATTATATTTCTTACATTTAGCCATAGACATATTTGTCATTCAATTGGACTCGACGACATATTCAGGGGTTTCAAATATTACTAAATTTCCTCATATCATCCCGGGGTATCATCTACTTCATTGTTTGTTTGTTTCTTTGTTTAACGCCCCACTCAGCAATATTCCAGCTATATGACGGCGGCCTGTAAATAATCGAGTATGGACCAGACAATCCAGTGCTTGACATCATGAACGCTGTTATGACATGCATCAACCAAGTCAGCAAGCCTGACCATCCGATCCCGATAGTCGCCTCTTACGACAAGCATGGGTCGCTGAAAACCAATTCTAACCCGGATCTTCACAGAGACATATATTCTCAATTAGTAACACGGGGAAATAAACGGCTTTTTTCTGATCCATGGGAGTACTGGTTTATGAGCAGTATGTTATATCAGGGTTTGTCAGCTTCGAAGGAAATCTAACTAAAACTAAAAATAACGCATTTTTAAGACGAATTTCTCGCTCGACTTCAGTGATGCCATCTTCCCGAGGCATGAGTATATAAAAGTCCAGTTTCCACCCTTGCCGAACTAGGTTGGAATTCCTGGGCCCGATCGTAGCGCCACCAGGGGCTATTACGAGTATTGTCCCTTCTGAGCCTCTCCTATGGACCAATCAGGTTCCACCTCTCGTACCACATGCATTGTTTCAAACAAAATGGCGGCGCCGAGTCAGGACGATCTGATCGATAATCAAGATCTATATTGTGAGAAAACGGATCTTACATCGCGAAGTGCATCAAATCACGGGAGCACATTGATTAAAAACATGAAAAGATTTAGAAGATATCTGTTGAAAACGAATTGGCGGCGCACATGCTTTACAAATCCTGCAATCGACAGAAATCTGCACGACAGTTTACGAACCGGATTTCTATTTCGTTGCGCGATTTTGATTGGACTATGCATTGACTCGTTATTCCAGCCAAAATGTAACTCCATAATTCCAGCATAGTTCGGCAAGGGTGGAAACTGTACTTTTATAGTCAGTTAACTCCCTTGCCACGGGAAGATGGAGTGATGCAAGCTGGAGATGTTACGGTAGCTGGTTGAAGCGTCGTAAAACCCCAACCATCGACTCCCTTTAAACAGTGCTACCTCGCGCCGACCCTATCATTGAATAGGGCCATTCGTATTCATGTGAGAGTTTGTTGACATTATCGACCAACTTTCAGGCATCAATCACCGCACGTTATTGACACGCGGCCCAGTTACAGTTAATGACGCATGCAGAAAACACAATATATATACTCCTCAGCACGCCGACTTTGTGAGGACTCCACACAGTGTCTTCCTACCGTCCCGGGGTCTATTGACACCCTGTGTACAATCAATGTCCTGGTGTTGGATCGACTGGTATTTCACGTCTGCTTCGGAGATTTACTAATTTAGGTAAGATTAAGTAACTTTTAAAATGTATGAATCCGGAAAACGATATCGTCTTGTATAATTGGTCTTCGTCGAGATTACCAAACAATTGAAGACGCATGGTTACGCCACTGTTCCAAGCAGCGTTAAACTAAACTCACTCAGTTGAATCGGTAATGTGTTCATGGGTATGTTAAGTCAATATTCAATTCGGTTTGTTTCGTAAATGTATGCCGTATTACAATGGACGTGATGTACCTAGATTTTGTTCGGACAATACTGTACTTCGATGTGACATCGCTTGATAGATATATAGATAGCTAGACGTTTAATGAGGTTACAATCAGTTGTAGACAGAATGATTTTAAGTTTTTATTTGGTCGGATATTCGCAATGTTTCTATGGTAAGTAATCCACCCGTAACTTGTTATAACCGGGGCAGATTAACAGAAAATGATAGTCGTCCTCCCAGCATTACAAACACAACATAGTCTTCTGTTACGTGGGATATCAGTTTATTCTCAGAAACCACAAAAGGTGGTACAAGAGCATATTACAATAAATAATTATGCATATGTACAAAAAGCAGACAAGATGGCAATTAATAACAACGTGATTACCTAGTATTTTTAATACTAATGGACATTTTTACAATAAATCTCGATAATTTGTTTAGATCCTGTGTGTTTGTTGTTGATAAGAGTTTTACAAATTTTATAATATTTGGCCATTCAGTATAATATGGTGAGAGAATTGTTCTCCTCTCTAATTTAAAATAATTACGTCTGAATAAGTAGTGAAATTCATCAGCAATAGATGGGGAATTACATAATTTACAAGTTCTATTTTCCTTTGGAATATTTTTCCATCGGCCAGTCTCATTATGATTACAGGTTCGAAATCGTAGTATTGGAATTGCTATTCGTTTTGGCAATAGAAGATATTTATCGAGAACCGGAGTGTCCTTTAAATGTTTATAGTATAAGCCTTTAGAACTAGAATTAACGTCACTTTTCCATTTCTGAAAAAAGTGATCTTTAAGTATTTGCTCTACTTCTGACACTAGCCACTTTGTTGTGCAGATTGACGGATTGTTAAATACATATATCAGCGTACCTCCCAGTTTCATCACACAGCTTATGCGAAAAACACCTAAACCGAGCTAGCTCCACTCTCAATTTACTGATGGTCACACAGTTAAGATACAACTCTGTACCAAACGATACCTTGAATAGAGAATAAGAGAAAGATTTTCTACCCTTTTCCAGAAGACTATGCCAAACCGAGCTAGCGCCACTCTCAATTTACTGACGGTCACACAGCTAAGATACAACTAAGGTACCAAACGATACCTTGAATAGAGAATAAGAGAAAGATTTACTACCCTTTTCCAGAAGACTATGCCAATCCTGTTCATAATTTAGTATGTAAACTACATTGAGGTAAGATTTATTTACGGAATCGCTGTGTCTAAATGTTGATATTGAAGATCGTTGTTGTAAGTGCTTCATATTGAAATATATGCAGATTCTGTATTGTGCTTCATTTTAGATGTTTATATTTGGATGATCCTGATATAACGAATTACCGATAACACGAACTGTAATGATAATGACCACTATGATTTTTTTATATCCTTTATTTATTCTCGACTTATCGGAACAGTGAAAAGGGTACCGCTATCTGACTGTTTACATGTTTAAAGTATAAACTGAAAACGTGGCATCATGGTGTAAAGGTCATATGTTTTATACTACTCAAAAGCAATTAAAAGAACACCCGATTATTTATGTTACAACAGTTAATCTGTTGTGCAAAGCTTTGAACATCCCAATCTCATTAAAATCAGATCCTAGTTCTCGCTATTGCTAAACAAGGATCTGAGGACATCCCATTAGGGGTCACGTCAGAACGACCTTTCATCCAACCAATCAGAGCGTCGCTTACCAGATCACGAAAGTGACAGTCGGAATGTGATTTCTAATCATGCAATCTCGAAAACTTTAACATGTGGTATTCCGAACGATAGTTACCGGCTTAACGACTGAAACCATACAAAAAACTTATTTTAGCCATTCCAGAATGTTCTTTTGTTCAGATTTCAAATTTGTAATCGAGACTTGGTCAAAATATGTTTCGAAGTGTAGTGGCCAAATTGAAATTAGTGCCGTAAAGCACGAGAAAGCTGCCTTCTGATTGGCTAATGTCGACTTCTTGTCAGTCATTCCATTGGTCGGTCAACGTTCGCGCAAGGTCGGTCTGACGTGACGTAATGGGACGTCCTCAGATCGTTGTTTAGCGGTAGCGAGGACTAAGATCTGATTTGAATGAGATTGTGAACACCCTATTATTTCATGTTGCTATAGTTAATCCGTCGTACAAAGCCTTGAACACCCGATTATTTCATGTTACTATAGTTAATCCGTCGTACAAAGCCTTGAACACACGATTATTTCATGTAGCTATAGTTAATCCGTCGTACAAAGCCTTGAACACCCGATTATTTCATGAAGCTATAGTTAATCCGTCGTACAAAGCCTTGAACACCCGATTATATCATGTAACTATAGTTAATCCGTCGTACAAAGCCTTGAACACCCATTTATTTCATGTTACTATAGTTAATCCGTCGTACAAAGCCTTGAACACACGATTATTTCATGTAGCTATAGTTAATCCGTCGTACACAGCCTTGAACACCCGATTATTTCATGTAACTATAGTTAATCCGTCGTACAAAGCCTTGAACACCCGATTATTTCATGTAACTATAGTTAATCCGTCGTACAAAGCCTTGAACACCCGATTATTTCATGTAGCTATAGTTAATCCGTCGTACAAAGCCTTGAACACCCATTATTTCATGTTGCTATAGTTAATCCGTCGTACAAAGCCTTGAACACCCGATTATTTCATGTAACTATAGTTTATCCGTCGTACAAAGCCTTGAACACCCGATTATTTCATGTAACTATAGTTAATCCGTCGTACAAAGCCTTGAACACCCGATTATTTCATGTAGCTATAGTTAATCCGTCGTACAAAGCCTTGAACACCCATTATTTCATGTAACTATAGTTAATCCGTCGTACAAAGCCTTGAACACCCGATTATATCATGTAACTATAGTTAATCCGTCGTACAAAGCCTTGAACACCCATTATTTCATGTAGCTATAGTTAATCCGTCGTACAAAGCCTTGAACACCCGATTATTTCATGTAGCTATAGTTAATCCGTCGTACAAAGCCTTGAACACCCTATTATTTCATGTTGCTATAGTTAATCCGTCGTACAAAGCCTTGAACACCCGATTATATCATGTAACTATGGTTAATCCGTCGTACAAAGCCTTGAACACCCATTATTTCATGTAGCTATAGTTAATCCGTCGTACAAAGCCTTGAACACCCGATTATATCATGTTACTATAGTTAATCCGTCGTACAAAGCCCTGAACACCCGATTATTTCATGTTGCTATAGTTAATCCGTCGTACATAGCCCTGAACACCCGATTATATCATGTTGCTATAGTTAATCCGTCGTACAAAGCCTTGAACACCCGATTATATCATGTTGCTATAGTTCATCCGTCGTACAAAGCCTTGAACACCCGATTATATCATGTTGCTATAGTTAATCCGTCGTGCAAAGCCTTGAACACCCGATCCTTTAACGTAATATGAAAGAGTCGGGTGTTCTTTAACTTCAATTGAACAGTGGATATAAATAATAGCATTGAGAAAACACTTAAGATGAAAACTACAATACATTATCACATCAATTAAGCGACAGTTATTTTACGTCAAGGGGGCACGGGTGGCCCAGTCGTCTAAGGCGCCGCGATTCGCTGTGCAGAGTTGCGTCCCTTGTGCACGCCAGAAACCTATGATTGTGGATTCGAATCCCGGTTCGCCCCGATTATGTTTCTAGGTTTGTCAGCACCATACCCGTGCTCTTGGGTTTCACCGAAGTGGTAAACGTCTGAGACTCGCATCATATCGGGCTTTCCTCCCACATTAAGCTGACACGCCGTGACTCACTCACTAGTTTACGTCAAGGTCACCATGTGCTACGGTTTATCACGGCGGCCAGTAAACAATGTGGCGGATACAGTACCAAACACGCCTCCAGGGCCCGATGACAGCCGGGTCATACAGAGAGAATCTGCTCTAACAAACAGGCGAACGATCCCCGGCCGCGGCATTGCAAAAGACGTTAAGAGATGGTACTTGTTGTTACCCTGCATTAAGGGATTTAAACAAGGACTGATTTTTGATAAACTGCGGCATGGTATATCATTGGGCTAGAGCTAAAAAAACGATATTAGTCCAGACAACAGTATAGGCAGTATCACACACATGCACGCGAGCATGCAAGTAGACATATTTTAGTGCAATAACGCAAAGTTAAACCCAATGTCACCTCATCTACTACAATTATAGGGGGATGCTGTTGTTTTGTTGTTTGTTGTTTGTTGTTGTTGTTGTTGTTTTTTGTTGTTGTTGTTGTTGTTGTTAATGTTGTTCATGCTTTCTGTGTCTGGTTTGTCATGGCCAGACCTGGTTATTTACAGCTTGTTAGGCGTTCTGTCAAGTTAAACAGCGTTCTAAGGTAATGCATTTTGACAGGGAATATGGGCTATAATAGTTTATATTACATGTAAAGAGCTATTGGCTTGATCTGTAGGCTAAGATAACATAGACGGTACGCCGTGCAGAAATAATTTGAAATGCTTATGTCATAAGAGAAATATGGTGTCGATAAACACTCATAAATAACCTAAGGATATAATGTGAAGGGCACGTACTACTGCCATCATTCAACGACATATGTCAGTATTTGGCACAGGTACGTGACAAAGTGTCGTATCGAAGTACTTGTCTCGTAGCTTCTCTATAAAACCCAACCGTCTTAAAATTTCACATGGGAACGCTAAACGTAATATTTTTTTGAGTAAACATGTCATCACATACCTATACCCCTTTCGTTATTCAAACCAGTTTTGTTCGGATACGAGTTAGACGTGTTGCAAAACTTTGATCAGAATTATTTATTTTCGTCATATATTGACGAAGAAAGTTTATGCCGACTGTTTGAAGCTCCAGACTGTGTATTTCTCATTTTGTTGCATTTAATCAGATTTAATGTGTAATGAAGCGTGACCTAGTGCATAAAGCTATGACAAATGTAGAATTAGAATCAGTTTTCGGGATCTGTATAGCCAAGTGATTCATTCCAAATATTAAGTTGTAGAAAATAATGTTAGGAAAACAATTCTTCGGGATCAAGAATTGGAATCAAGTGATTTCTTTAAAATACAGTAAAGTACGGTTATAACGAACTCAAAGGGACTACTAATTTTAGTTCGTTATAACCGTAGTTCGTTATATGCACATATACAGCATAACTACAGCAAATAGTCGGGACCAAAAAAGTAAGTTCGTTATATCCGCCAGTTCGTTATAAGCGTGTTCGTTATAACCGTAGTTTACTGTAGTATCCAACGAGTCTTCCATCTGCATCTTGTATTTAGGTGTCATAGACAAATGTATGTCTACCCAGCAGGAAGTACATGTACAGAAGGGGTGGTGGGGTAGCCTAGTGGTTAAAGCGTTCGCTCGTCACGTCGAAGACCGGGGTTCGATTTCCCACATGGGTACAATGTGTGAAAGTCATGTCTGGTGTCCCCCGCCGTGCTATTGCTGGAATATTGCTAAAAACGGCGTAATCCATGCTCACTCACTCACTCACAAGGGACCCAGTGAATGATAAACATGTTTACAGATTTCGATGATTTTCTGCAACATTCTAAACTTTAGTACCAGCTTCTCTGGGGCCAGCCCATGGAGACCCGGGTCGGGTTAGATGCCCAGCATCCTGCTGCTGATAATAAAGAGCGACTAAACTTGGTCGGATTGCTGAGAGAGGCGTCAGCACACCCCGACCACGTCGAGTGCTGCTCAAGTTTTTAAATGGTCCTTGATTATTTACAGACCGCTGTGCGGCGCTTAACAACATCCCCTCAATCACTCTCTCACTCACTTATTATGCACGTGCAAACCCTTATCTCGAAACTCCCATTTTTTTTATCAATTTAAAAAATCACGTTCGACTTCGTCTACGATGTATTATTTACTGTTATCTTGTCATAATAACAGCCTTCATTTACGTGCTATCATATGTCAGTTTTTTTGTCGTTATTACTACTTTTATTATCATATGTTTAGTATTGATGTTATAATCAACAAGCATGAAATATTCATATCCCCCGTCAGTATGACATGTCCAGTTGTGTGCACGGCATTTGCCAAGTCAAACTCATTGCTATAGAAACTCGAAAAATATTTTTCATAAAAATTTCCTAATTTTGAAAAGGCACCACTTTACCACTAGACCTATCTATGTGCCAAGTATGGTGAAGAAATATTGTACGGTTTTCAAAGTCAAAATGGAAACTCGAAAAAATATTTTTTGGGAAATCCCAAACTATCAAAAGGCACCAGTTCACCCCTAGACCGATCTATGTGCCAATTTCTGTTACGATTTATCTCATGGTTTATTTTTATCTGCTCCGGAAACGAAACGTAACGGACGGACGGAAGGACGGGCGGACAGCACCCATTCCTATAATAATAATACGGCGTGTTGTTTGCGTTAACTCCTATAACTATCGCAGAACCCGGATGTAAACTGACCGCTCTGTACTCTCAGCTGTCGGGGAGCTCAGATAATCGGCTCTGTGTTAACCGTCTTACATCACCTCGCCATTAGGCTTAACACATACTTTACTGGATAAGTTAAGGCCATGTGATAGACTATTATAATATTTACATTTCTGCTTCAAGTACTCACATCACAAAGCATTCGTGGAAAAAGGTATTGCTATAGTACACGGGGCATACCGACCCATTATACGCACGAGACCGCAGGATGATCTCGCGTCACTGCGTGAGATTTTACGCAGCTTTGGACAATTTAATTGAGTTTGAGTACCATCAAGATTACTAAACTATGTCGTCCCTTCTCGCCAAGAGCAGGACGCGAAGAGGCGCCGGGACGCGAATACCACCTGGCGTCTGATGTGAGTCACGTCTAAAAGTAAACAGACGTTAACATATGACAGCGTTTATAGTAGAGCTGGGACCGGTAACTCTCGTACTCGTGTCGGGTGGGTACTGAGTAGGACCCGGAACCGTTTTTAGTCACGTGATTATATTGTTTAATGGCAAAAATTATCTAGAACTCTATGGTTACACTATAAGTGACAAATGTTCACATATCTCTCCGACTATGCACATATTCCTTCTGACTTTATATGTTTGAATAAAGATAAAACTTCAGTCAACTTCAGTGTATGCATGACCAGATCATACCTGTATGTAAATACATTTTGACAGGAGTACGGTCAAACGTTTCCCAATCGGACATTTTGTACCTATCTCTTGAGACCTACAGCGGGTACCGGGTAGTAAATTTGGACTCGTTCAGCCCTACTTTATAGTATTTGGTATCTCACTCCACAGTCACACACCATCAATCCGAGGTCGCAGCTGTAACCATGCAGATACAACGACATACAGTCACTAAGGCCACACACAGTAACCAACCATCCATTAATATCAATCCACTTCGGTTTTACACTTTCATTTGTTCAATTTCATTTGTTTCAAAAGTTCTTGAACAGATTATATTGGCATTGACGTCAAGTGAGTGAGTGAGTGAGTGAGTTGGGTTTAACGCCGCTTTTAACAGTATTCCAGTTATATCGCGGCGTGTCAGCTTAATGTGGGAGGAAAGCCCAAAGTGATGCAGGTCTCAGACGTTTACCACTTCAGTGAAACCCACGAGCACGGGTATGGTTCTGACAAACCTAGAAACATAATCGGGGCGAACCGGGATTCGAACCCACAATCATAGGTTTCTGGCGTGCCCAAGGGACACAACTCTGCACAGCGAATCGCGAGGACTGGGCCACCCGTGCCCTCCATTGACGTCAAACCCTTGGACGGAAAATAATTGCTTGTTACGACTTTGATCTAAGTATGCGCGAATGCCATCAACAAGCGTATCTCTCCGGTGTCAAGAAGCTGCCTTTCATTGGTAGCTTGGGTTTTGTTTTCCACAGCCCGTCTTGTTATAAATTAACTGTCATTTTGAGAAACTGACAAAGCTTAGCGCCTCTGATCTTCAGTTGAAGATTTTCTGTCAATTTTGAAAAAAAGCTTGTAAAGCCACACGCGTCATTTTAAATATACAGTGTTAACAAAAACACCGGTCTTACAATAGACAGTGGCAACTTACATTTAGCAACTACTATTAACCGATTATGACAAATTCCTGTTTTAACATTTGTGAAATATTTCTACTGTAAATGAAATGTTCCATTACTTTCAGCTCGTGTCGCCATGACGACGGAAAGGTTGACGATGCATGCGTTGAAGCAGAATGACAACGTTCACCCCACCTTCAAAGCTTCGACTTCGGGTACGGGAAGTAAAGAGGTACGTCCAAAAATTTAATTAAAACGATACTTTGTCGCTCTTGTAGGAAGATGCTCCATACGTTGTTTACCTTTCTCATTCGTAGGTGAACAAATAAAATAACAAAAAAACTTTTCCATAATCATAAAAAATCTCCATGAGTCTATTATACGATTCCGACTAATTCCTAAGGATGTCTTTACGAATCACTGTCAAACAGTGTTGATACCAGGTGGCCGCGATGAGGTGAGCGAATCCTGCCCCACTTGTGGCAGCCACACAAACACACGCAAAGGCAACTCAACTGTCCACCTGAAAAAAAACCACGGGAACATATGGTACAAGTCAAATTAGGGTACTGCATCGGACATAATTTTGGTCACTGATGCGGCAAATTTGGAAATTTCGTCCACCATAAACCCTTTTGACAGCTTTACCAAGGACATTGAATTATGTAACCCTGATAAAAACCATTTGTTTAGCAAGAGTTGTATGGCGCTCTTTGAAGTCTTGGTAGAAAGAGCATGCTTGGTTGTACCTCAACAGTTGTGACATGTAGACACCAGGGGGTGGAGCTGGGACAAGAATGGACACAACTGACGGATACCAACGGATAACTTTAAAGTACATTGTATAGTACCCTTGAAATAAAATATTTTTTACTTGAATCGAAGAACTGATTCTGGGCATGAAATTATAGATTTTGTATGTGTATTTGTTGTTTAACGCCTCATTCAGCAATATTCCCTATATGACGGCGGTCTGTAAATAATCGAGTCTGAACCAGACAATCCAGTGACTGATATTATGAACGTCCCACGCGCTCGTCACAAGTCATCAAGCCAGATCTCCCGATTAGTTAAGTCGCCTCTCACGACAGGCATAGGTTGCTGAGTCCTGTTCTAAACCCAACACCACCCCACCCGAAACCTCGCTTATCCGGACGGTGTCATTCTCAATACAATTATAACGCAAAATGTCCACACTAAAGAGGTTTCATTATAATGCGTTTGAGTTAATATTGATACTAATTATTTAAATAATCGTATTGCTTCGCCAGGACCTCCACAATCATCACATTAATGCTTACTTTGTCACTTGTAAACATGTTATTGAAATGTGCCTAAATCGCTCTTAAAGATCGAATAGATCAATAGTTCGACACTTATCACCGATTTCTGAAATTACATAACCGCATCTCTTAAAAGAGAATTAAAAAGTCATTTTTAAAAACGGGTTATACAGAACGTGAGGTTTCAATAAACACCATCGCTCTCATTATTCCCAAATAGTTCAATATTTAAAGTTACTTCAGATATCAGATTTACCGTTAATGATTTCAGCTGCTTATGGCAACACCACTATATTTATGACAGGCGCATGTTCACGGGGCTTAAACCGGGTGTTTATTGCAGATATTACAAATAAACTGTTATAAATCATATACTTGTGAGTGGGTAGCCACCACTTGAAACCCCTTTCACAGTGGCTCCCCCTGTCGACGGGATTTGACACGCACGACGCTTCACTTATAAGCGTAAATATTGTTCCGTGATTAAGGACCTGCTGGGAAGTAAAAGCGACAGCACTCGCTGTAGGGAAATTGTTACGTTATTTCACAGAATGTCAATTATTAAAGGACGCGGAATATTTGATATGCGGAAGACCATTGTAAGTACTATCTTTATATTTTCTGTCAACATATCTTTCATTTTATAAATGTATATACGTCTTTGCTACAAGTATTCATCTGTAATACTAGCACAGTAATTAATATTATTTGCACTTTGCAACACCATTTTACTTTTATAATGTGTATGTGATCAAATGAATGAGCATCAATTAACAATAGGTAGTAAATACACCTCACTAGACGGGTAGTTGCCGTTTGACTGCCCAATGCCAAACAATTTATGCTTCAGGTTCGAATCCCGTCAGGGTAATTGCATTGATCAATTTATCAATTCAAATGTTTATTGTACGAAAGCTATAGACCCAAATACATGAAAGGCAAACTATACAGTGCACGATCATGTTTCAAATAGGGCCTAGTGGTTAAAGCGTTCGCTGGTCACGCCGAAGACTCGGGTTCGATTCCGACATGGGTACAATGTGTGAAGCCCATTTGTGGTGTCCCCCGCCGTGATTCAAATAGATTCAAATGCTCCATTTAAGTACATTTCTGCTCTCGAAGGCATGCCTGAATATAGCATGCCAGATGATACATCCTAAAATTTGTGGTTGCCTTGAGGCAAGTAAATTTTTAAACTTAAGGTCGATTTATATATTTATAGGGTATTACTTTCGAATACATATATGGAATCATTTTGCAGATACATTTCTAGCGTTAGGCTCTAGCTATGTTATAGTGCAAACCATTTCAATACTTTTATTTAAAACCTTCGTTTATCTGAAATACCGAATTGTTTCAACATGCTTCCATAGCGCACCGAAATTTGATCCCCTTTCTTGGTTAAATGTATACAGCAGATAGTCGTCGTATCTTCTCTAATTATACGCCCCTCCGGGGAGGACCCTTAATCCACAGCGCTATCTATAAATGTCAGTCAACACCTTGCGTCGCCGTTTGTTACGTATGTACATGTACGTGGGTCACTATGGAAACATGTTGAAACAATTGGGTATTTTAGATAAATGAAGTTTTAAATAAAAGTAGTGAAATGGTTTGCACTATAACACTACCACTATTAAACAACATTCTTAAACGCTAATACCCCGTTCACATGCACAACATTTACTAACGTACGTAATTTTACACATGTGTAACTATACATACGTGCGTATATGTAAATTTACTATGCGTTCACATGCAAAGCATCTTAGGTGTGTAAATAAAGTATGTAGATTGTGTAAGGAACACATATTCGTCAGTCTGTTCACGACTTTCAACACAAAACAGGTTGTTTTCCCCCAATCAAAGTTGAATTAGAATAGAGTTACTTCACCGAAAATTTTCGCGCGAAGCAACATGTGTTTGATTTAATTTGTACACAAAGTTTTGACGCCTTGAAACCAAAAGAAAACACCGTCCGCTCAACTCTGTATATACGCATAAAAGTGGGCAACTGTTGACAATTTGTTTGGTGTTGGCAAAAGAACAGATATTAATTAGATCATCCTCTTACGTTGACATAAGTATGCTTCAGACATGATGCAAATGAGAGAGAGAGAGAGAGAGAGAGAGAGAGAGAGAGAGAGAGAGAGAGAGAGAGAGAGAGAGAGAGAGAGAGAGAGATTTTGGTTGGTTTGTTGTTTAACGCCACACTCAGCAATATTCAAGCTATATGGTGGCGGTCTGTTCACATTCGAGTCTGGACCAGATAACACTGTGATTGATATCTTGAGCATCGAACCCGTTAGTGTTGAATGAGTGTTGTATTAATGTTTTGAGCCATGTTAGATCGGGGGAGCACTAGTCCTCATACCACCCCACCCCACCCAACCCTAGCCCCATGACCAACAGTTGCTACCCATAGGGTATGGGTGCTTACGCGTAACCACCCCACGTCCACAGACACCCACAGCGAACATGACAGTGATCTCTCTAAGCATATATCACTTGTTTACTCCAATTACTGCAGTGATCTATGTAAAGTTGCAGGGACTACCAGCTTGAATTCAGACATTGTCTCCAGTAGTTGTCTGTCTATCCATTAACCTACCCAGAACACATAAACACATCTGTTGTGTTCAGGACAGATAGTGACAGTTTATGGTTGTCAGAAGATCCTCAACCCCTGACCCTTGACCTTTGATGTGACACCAGAGTCCACGTGTAGTGGGCGTAACGGTCACTTTATCCTGGTTTACACACACCTGTACATGTTGAGTGGGCAGCTCTATGGTGGGTGTCGTTGTTGATGCAATGTATTTGCTATGGCATTGCTAAATACACACAGACATTATTGCGTGGCCGCTCATGTTTCCAGGGAAACGACTTACATCACATATTTATTGTGTAATCGAGTTACCGTACTCGTCGGACCAAGGGCAACAGGTGGAGCTGCGTTGGATCCCCTCTCACATAGATATTCATGGAAATGAAAAGCAGACTCACTGGCGAGGCTAGCTCTAGACAAAGCGGATATACAGCCTATTCCCTTTAGCAGAGACCATATAATATATATATATTATATGGTCTCTGCCTTTAGTAAACTAGAGATAAAAAGCAAAATTAAAGCCTCTATGGCCCAAAGATGGCAAGCCCAATGGGACGTAGATCGGCAGATGGCTATACAAAATTCAACTCATACTCAAATGAAAGGAAAATTGAAATTGCCATCTCACGCCTCAAATTGGTCACAAAAAGCACTATGACAAGGTTTTTTCATCTTGCAATCAGGCTGAAACCATTGACCACGTGTTACTAGAATGTCAAGACCATGCCCCAGCCCGGGCTAGGTTAAAACAAGAATTGCAGTTAGATCCGCTATCTGTCATAGATCTCCTAAAGCCAAGAGATGCAATAGCGAAGGCCAAACTAACTCTATTTCTGAGAGATGGACAGCTGCTCGAACGTATATAAACAGAGCAGCCAAGGATAAAAATGAAAGTATATCAATATAAGAAAATAGAAATCATATCAATACAAAAACAGAAATTATGTGAATACCAAACTCACAATAGATAAGTGTACCCTACTCAAACACAGGTGTCCCAGGTCAGCCGAAATTGCTTAATCAGAAGTCAACCTCTAAAACACTTATTGCCACAAACAAACAAACCACACTCGGATACGGGGAGGTTGGGCTCAGTAAGAGGGGCACCTTATTCACACACACTTTTTGGGTTGTTTGTTTGTGTTTTGTGGTTTTTTTTTGTTTTTTGTTTTTTGTTGTTGAATGATTTCTTCTTCTTGTTGTTGTTGTTGTTGTTGTTGTTTTTGTGTGTGTTTTTAGGGGGGTAGGCATTCCTAACATTCAGGAATATCTTTAGGTTTTCGCGTATATTAAAAATTAAAAATGCACACTTCTCACAAATAGGTATCTGCCCTTGGTAACAATGATAAACGACGTTAAACAACGCTTTGAGTAAAACATTGTGTAATATACTTGCTACATGATTACAAGACTGTGGAAAGCGAATTGCCAAGTCACAAATAAATAAAATAAAATCCACATAATTTGAGGCATAACGTCACAATCAGAAAATACATATCTGGGTTATCGGATTTGCCAACCCTGACATTTGTAGAAACAGATCTCATCACATCATGCAGCTCCAGGAAGAGTTCCACTAGGAATGTTCAAACGTTCTCATACCCTGACTGCATAAAAACACCAAGTCAAATAAATCCTTTTCATTGTCTTTATCGATCTGTAAATCAGTCTCTCAGTTGGTCAAACATTCTCTATATTCTCGACATACCGACCCTGCCTGACCCGTAAAGATCGGGGTAGAACAGGTCTTCAGCAACCCATGCTTGCCGCAAAGGGTGACTGCTTGTCGAAATAGGCGACTTACGGGATCGGGTGGTCAGGCTCGCTGTCTTGACTAACGCATGTCATCACATCCCAATTGCGTGAGTCGAGTCGATGCTCATGATGTCAATCACTGGATTGCCTGGTCCAGAGTCGAGTCCATTATTTACAGACCGCCGTCATATAGCTGGAATATTGCTGAGTGTGGCGTTAAACAACAATCAAACAAACCGACCCGGCCTACCATGCGATGTCTGCGTGTGTCTAAATAATAATATTCAAACAATACAAACCATGTGTGAAGAGGTATGGCTATTGGTCAGTTCAAAATCAGAATCAAGTTTATTTCCCCGTGAAGAAATATAAATTCTTGAGAATTATGTGTATATCATATCATGTTCATCTAAATACAAGCAGGCGTGCGTACGCCAGCTAACAGAGGATTTAGATAAGTTTCGGGTGGCTATAATCTGTGGCCTGGCTGTTTGTGTGTCATCGTACCCCGACTGCGTGAGTTGTTCTCATGGCGTCAACGTTTGCTGTGTCTGTGACTCAACTATTCACATACTACAGCCTGCAATATTGTTCTCCAACCAAATCTCCTTTTCTTTTCATTCCAGCTGCCTCGTCAAATATCACGATCGGAGTTAGATGTCCAACCCAAGAAAAGAACCCGTGCCATCAGCAACAGCGAAACCTCCCCCAAATCTTTGGCACAGCCCACAAAACCCAAGATGTCCATCTTCAAACTGGTAGCAGCGACACGGGCATGGCGCAGACTCGCCACGAAGAACAGCAAATCCAACAGTTCTGTAAGACCGCCCCCCAAGCTCGAGAACACATTCAAACTGAAACCTGATGACCGGAAGAGGTTCATGCCACGCCAAGTCGAGAAGCTATTGGCTGATGTTCTGGCAGCAAGGCTGGACAAGGTCGAGTACGACCCACGCACGTGTAGGGACATCACAACAGATATATCGGCGCATATCAAAGCCAGGGTGAAGGCCATGGACTTTCCGCGCTATAAGATCGTTAGTAATGTTATCATTATGGAGAACAAAGGTCAAGGGGCACAGGTCGCCAGCAGATGCGTGTGGGATGCCAGTTCGGACTCTTTTGCCACTTACACCTACAGGAACCACACCCTGGTTGCTACTGCTTATGTCCACGGGGTCTACTATGAATGAAGGTGATATCCGTAGCTGAGCAAAGACCTGGATGCCTTCATTCCTGCCACCAGAACAATCTCATTAAAATCAGATCTTAGTTCTTGAGATCTGAGGACATCCCGTGACGACAGAACGACCTTTCGCGAACTTTGACCGACCAATGAAATGACTGCTCAGAAGTCGACATTGGCCAAATAGAACGCAGCTTTCTTGAGCAACACGACACTAGTTTCAAACTGGCGACTTCCATTCAAGACTACGCATTGAAACATAGTTTGACAAACTTTCCGATTCAAAATTTGAAAACTGATCACATGCAGGAATGTCTACAGTGTAATAGATAGCCGAGATTGTATTGCAGTACGTCCCACGGGCTACACAAAGTCTCCTCTGTTCAAATGCTTATCCCACTGGAGCGAGAGACAGACGATGATTTTGACATATGCAGTCGTACATCCCGTAACAGTCGCTAGGAATACCCCGTGTTAATCATTTCGAAGTTGCATGATCTGAAAACCATCAGACTGTCACATTCCTGATCTGGTAAGCGACGCTCTGATTGGTCGGATGAATGGTCGTTCTGGCGTAATCTGTAATTGGATATCCTCCGATCTTTGTTTAGCGGTAGTGAAAACTAAGATCTGATTTTGATAAGATTGGCCACCACAACTGACTCCTGAAACCATGAGGTCAAGGTCAGGGACTAACAATATTGGATACGATCTTCAACATTTGAGACTGGATTTGGAACAGTGCTGTACTGAGTTCTTGGTTGAATATTTATCTGATACACATCACCGAGAAATCTGATTCCTGGTTCATCTATCTGCGACAGTTGTATTATATTACAACCTTGTGAAAACTTTACATTTTAGTCACTCGATGTGCGCCAACAACTGGCCAACTGGAGTATACTCAAACCAGAGACGTCAATATTCTTCCCTTAGTTAGCAAACTGTGTATGTTGAGACCAGGTATATGCGAATATACCCACTCTGACCGCTACAAAGAGTTGCAATTCCTACATTTTGAATAAAAGTGACAAGACCCTTTTCATAATCATAAATAATCTCTGCTGGACGCAAAATGTGAAGTTTCAATAAACTGCATCCTATGGGAACCGGTTTCACAAGATTTGGTTAATATTCGCGGATTATGAACTCACGAGGTGCTTTATATGGCAAGAATATCACCTCCAAGGCCATGGTCCGCACGCACAAAGCGGTCTTAGCGCTAGGCATGTTATAACTCTCATACATACTACTCAAAGCTACTTAAATCGGCGTAAAACCATATTCACTCACTCACCATATTCCAGCGTTTCGGATTGTGGGTGAAAGCCCGAATTGTTGCTCTTTCCAGTTTTTTTAAACCCACGGGTATGGGGCTGACAAACCAAGCATCATAATCAGTTTGTATCTTGGATTGGAACCCATGATTAGTGCATCCTAGCACAACTGTGGGAATGTTTCATAAAACGCAGTTAGAACCAGTCACATATCACCTTGTCTGTTGTTTTTTTCATGTTAAATAAAGTGATATCTGCATAATCATATCTTTCTTGTTCCTAATACATGCTGGGGTATAAGAGTGTCTCGATCGTCTAAGGCGCCGCAATTCTCTGTGAGTTGTGTCCCGGAAACGAATCCCACAATCATCCTGATGTTTCTGGGTTAGTCAGCACCACATCGTGGTACACTTTCTACCTCCATCAAGCTCACACACAGTGATATAACTCCCTTATCACACCTTATAGTCAAGTGTCAGAATTCCCCCTTATCACACCTTACAGTCATGTGTCAGATCTCCCCCTTATCATACCTTGTAGTCATGTCAGAGCTCCCCCTTATCACACGTAGCAGTCAAAGCTCACCCTTATCACACACTGTAGTCATGTGTCAGAGCTTATCACACACTGAAGTTATGTGTCAGAGCTTATCACACATTGAAGTTATGTGTCAGAGCTCCCCCTTATCACACAGTGTAATCATGTGACAGAGCTCCCCTTATCACACAGTGTAATCATGTGACAGAGCTCCTTTACACACATTGTAGTCATGTGACAGAGCTCCTTATCACACATTGTTGTCATGTGTCAGAGCTCCTTATCACACATTGTAATCATTTGACAGAGCTCCCCTTATCACACATTGTAATCATGTGACAGAGCTCCCCCTTATCACACAGTGTAAATACTAATTATGTGACAGAGCTCCTTATCACACATTGTAGTCATGTGTCAGAGCTCCCTATCACACATTGTTGCATTGCACCTGATCTGAATGTCATCAATACTCAGAGAGAAAAGATAAGATACTCATAAAAACTGTTTATTACAAATATATGATACAACAAGCACAAGTCCTCCGACTCTACATGTGACACAAGCAGGTATAACATACATCTCTTTACAACACCTGACAAAGAAGAAGCCTTTGCAGTTGTTCAAAATTCCCAAAGCATCATGCTCCACTCGCAAGTCTAGCGAGGGACACAGCAGCAAACACATCAGCCGAGGACAACACTAATAGACATAACGCATCTATCACATTGACTACCACGCCAGTGTGTTTCTCATGCTGAATATTCCAGCTATAGGACAACAGCCTGACCAGACAATCCAGTGATTGATATTATGCACATTGATTCAGGTCATCACGGTACAAGGACATGCCATCAAACAAGTCACCAGACAATCCAGTGATTGATATTATGCATACTGATTCAGGTCATCAGGGTACAAGGACATGCAATCAAACAAGTCACGAACATCAATAACCAACACAACCACAGTATTTAATAGTTGAAAACCTTTTCAAACATTGCTGGTTGATCAATCACTGGACTGTCTGGTCCAGACTCAATTAATTAGACCGCCATCATATAGCTGGAATATTGCTAAGTATGGCATTAAACATCAAACAAAACAAATCATGCTTAGTTTCAAACATTGAGGTTACATCACCATGGTGACAGGCAAGAAGGAGTGGCTTCAACGAACCCAGCTACTAGACTAGCAAAGACTCAAACCACTTTAATGCCCATTATAATACATCAATGGCAACTATATTCTGCACCAGGTGATTTAACACTACCACTGTCACCCTCACAGATCTGTGGTACTGTTCAATGTTCAATGATCTGATGCTCACCTTCTGTCAAGCTCCAGATTCTGTAACTTCGTAAAACTGAGACATTGATTGTTAATAATTGGAGGAATCAGTAACTGTAAGATTGATGAACACAACTTGACATAAAAACACACAGTGAAGTATCTGAATGTACTGTTTAAAAATATCCACCAGCCCGACGGTCTATTTCGCTGACAGTCAGTTTTGAAAAGTTGCACGCTCAATGGTCGGGACTTAAAGTTACTAAGTTGACAATCCACCAGTTTATTGTTATTTTCTGATAACTAAAATTAAACAGTGCTATTCTTATGTTTACACATTTGTTACTTTTGTTTGTTATTATGGAAAATTCTGGACTTCACAATGTTGCCAGTCTGGTTGTCTGAAAGTTTAGGGAATTTCTTACCCTGCTGAATGATCTCAATCAACTTGATGGGGTTGCCAATTGGCCAAGCTCAGTATTTTTAGGGTATGAGATTAACAAAAGTCATAGCACTACAATCACATGATTCAAGATTTGTTCCCTCTGGAACCACATTGTGTTCACCAAAACAAAACGGCCACCAATCAGCACTTATTCTTAATTATTTCCTCAGAACTAATTGTTTTTTGTCAGCCTCGGTTTGACTCGTATCCCTAGCCAAGGTAGTAGAGAAGTACTCTGAAGTAAAGGTTTGTATCCATACCTGTGAAAATACCTATATACCATGCATAAATTAAAACAACAGTGGCGGAACCAGGGTGGGGTTGGAGGTGAAACAGACCTGATTGTAATTTGGAACCCTCCGGGGTCCAGCATCTGACTCTGCATTCGATCACTGTATACGTAGGGCCCACTCTATACGTAGGGCCCACTCTATACGTAGGGCCCACTCTCTACGTAGGGCCCACTCTTTAAATAGGGCCCACTCTATACGCAGGGCCCACTCTCTACGTAGGGCCCACTCTTTAAATAGGGCCCACTCTATACATAGGGGCCACTCTATACATAGGGCCCACACTATATGTAGGGGCCACTCTATACATAGGGCCCACTCTATACGTAGGGCCCACTCTATACGTAGGGCCCACTCTTTAAATAGGGCCCACTCTATACGCAGGGCCCACTCTATACGTAGGGCCCACTCTTTAAATAGGGCCCACTCTATACATAGGGGCCACTCTATACATAGGGCCCACACTATATGTAGGGGCCACTCTATACATAGGGCCCACTCTATACGTAGGGGCCACTCTATACATAGGGCCCCAACCACTGTACTCTATCCACTGCAAAATGCAAATAACAAAATATCTTTTGATTCTGAAACTGTGTCTAATGCATGATGGCTTTGGAGAAATCTAAACTCCAATCCTTGTAGAAACACTCACGAATACAGCTCCACTGTTTCTTGTTCTCTGTTTCTGATGATGTGCATTTTCTCAGAATTTGTTTTGTTCAGTGAAAGACACAAAATGCATGAAAATTAAGCTACACTTGTTCTGAAAAATATTTATCAGAATTCCATGTTAACAGGTAACATGCCCCCTTGTCTGACACAGGAAACAAGAAACAAAATATTTTATTTCAGCTGAAATAAAGGTTAAAATGTAACAACTCCAATTTTGTCACACATTTGCCGATAAGTGAGGTGAAATGGGGTTTAACATTGCGTTAAGATTGTCCCACTTATATAGTAACATGACGACATTTGGACATAGGTGAGGTGAAATGGGATTTAACATTGTGTTAAGAATGTCCCACTTATATAGTAACATGACGACATTTTGACACAGGTGAGGTGAAATGGGGTTTAACATTGCGTTCAAGATTATTCCACTTATATATATAGCAACATGATTGTTTGCAGATAATGTCACATTGTTGTAGGCGACCACATCACAGACTTAAATCACAATGGAAAACAAACATCTGATACAATCATAATTCAAATCTTATTAGAGATCATCCAAAAGTTTACAGTTTAATGCTACACTGTAACAGAGGATTAGGTTCTCAGGACTGTAAGAGATATATATAATCCATGTAACGAGCTGTTGCTACACTGAACCATAACAGAAAACTGAAGCTCTATTATCAAACTACAGTAAACTATGTTTATAATGAACACGCTTATAAGGAACTGACTTATATAACAAACTTATTTTTTAGTCCCCGCCATTTTGTTGTATATATGCTTATAACAAACTACAGTTAGCACGAACTAAAATCAGTGGTCCCTTTGAGTTCGTTATAACCGTAGTTTACTACAGTAATGATCAGTATTATAGGACACACGCATCTGTTGTTCGAGATAAACGTATGATCCTAATACTTCATGAACATAATGCCATTTAGAAAGTGGTTAAATGTAACAAATGTTTTTTTACAGATTCTAGTAAAATTTTGGGTTGAGTCCCATCCAGAAATCGAACCCACACGGCCAGAGTGAGGCCCTAATCGCCAGCACACAAAGTCAGCAATCAAACCCACTGGGTTATAACATTTGTTACTAATATTTCATGCAACCCGTTTTGTTGGATTTCTATCCAGAAAGAAAAAAAGTGTTAAAAAAATCATAACTAGTTTTGTTGATCCTGACTTTGAAAGCCATATTGTGTAACCTTGTTCCTTTTTTGTGCCTCATCTGAGACTCTTGTTGAAAGAGGGTATATAAAATACATTAATGTAAAAACAATATCTCAACTGTGGTGACTAGTGACGAGGTGACGCTATACCGGCATCAAGACAAGCTCTCCTCATGAGTAATTTGGACCGAGACTGGCTCTTGTTGAAAGAACATATATATAAATATAATAACATTAAGATAACATCTGCATCTGTGGAGACGAGTGACGAGGTGACGCATTACCGGCATCAAGACAAGCTCTCCTCGTGAGTAAGTTGGACCGAGACTGGCTCTTGTTGAAAGAACATATATATAAATATAATAACATTAAGATAACATCTGCATCTGTGGAGACGAGTGGTGAGGTGACACGAAGCCAGCATCAAGACAAGCTCTCCTGCGTCAGGAAGTCAGACAGGATGGAGAGGAACTCCGGGGTGTTTTCTGAATGGACCCAGTGTCCTGCACCGGGGATGTGGGTAATGTCCGCCATCGGGAAAAGAGACTTGATCTCAGGGATTGTTTCGGAGCTGAAGCAGAAATACACAGAAAAGGCATGACGTGGGAAGAGTCAAACTCGGACTTAAAACCCTGGTGGGTGTAAGCAGAAATACACAGAAAAGGCATGACGTGGGAAGAGTCAAACTCGGACTTAAAACCCTGGTGGGTGTAAGCAGAAATACACAGAAAAGGCATGACGTAGGAAGAGTCAAACTCGGACTTAAAACCCTGGTGGGTGTAAGCACAAACACACAGAAAAGGCATGACGTGGGAAGAGTCAAACTCGGAATTAAAACCCTGGTGGGTGTAAGCAGAAATACACAGAAAAGGCATGAAGCGGGAAGAGTCAAACTCGGACTTAAAACCCTGGTGGGTGTCATGCAAGTTGTTTGGATAAAAACATATTTGTGATGTTGTTTGTTGTGAAAGACGCAGTCAAATAGATGATACGCATCAATCAAGTCAGTGACCCTGACCACAAGATCTCGTTAGTCGCCTCTTATGACAAGCATGGATTGCTGAAGACCAATTCTAACTCGGAAACTTCACAGATTATACTCTTAACATTTTACTTTCTGTCAAAAACAATACCTTGCAATCAGTGTGAACATACTCAGTAGGTTGGGTGGGTGTCTAGTGAGTATGCTGTATTTAACACCGCTTTGGTGGAGTTGCAGCTATAGTCACAGGGTGTTAGCTTAATGTTGGCTACAGGGCCCTTGTTTCTACTGGTGGACAGAACACCAACCTTATATGATGTGACAAACTTCCTCCAATGAATTTGGTAGGTTTCTCAAAAGGGTGAGAAAATTCTGGGAATTCCATGACACTGTGGTAGCTGCCTATTATGGCGTCCAAGTTCAATCTCCACTGCACCTTCCCGTGTTTCTCGACCAGGTTAGTCAGCAAGAACTGGCGTACTAGCGAACTCTACAACAGTAACATATACATCTAGTACATAGAGATTATTACACAAGCGTGTGTGTCATACTCATTTTACTAAATGAGTGTCAGAATTCTTGTATTTCCCGACCGAGAACAAGGGTGATACATGAATTCTTACACAAATTTTGTAAAATCAGTATAACACACATGCGAGTGTTATAATATCTTTATCACCCATTATTTCTTAATCTTTTTTAGCTCCTCCTTAAAAAAGGCATCAATCAGCAATCATGTCTTACAATTGTGGAATGATGTCAATAATTATCAGCTATAACGTTGTTTCTATTGTCACGTAATTCTGACCTTACGTCATAATAAGATTCAAATGACGTCAACAATGACGCCCGAATGATGACATAAACAATGACGTTAACAATTCCCCGATGCTCGTGTGTGTGTGTGTGTGTGTGTGTGTGTGTGTGTGTGTGTGTGTGTGTGTGTGTGTGTGTGTGTGTGTGTGTGTGTGTGTGTGTGTGTGTGTGTGTGTGTGTGTGTTGTTCAAACTAGTACATGTATGTAACCAAATAAACAGTTGTGTAACCAAATAAACTATTGGGAACAACAATAAACCTAGGAAAGGGCCTCCCTACACAAATGTATTCCTTGATCAGTAAAATACTGGAATACAGTATTTGACTACCATTGGACTTGGAATATTTAGGGATATTTTTGTTTTCTTTCAAAATTAAAATAAAAAAGAATCGTGCGGCAAACTTTATGATGATGCGGGCGGTGCCTGAGAACCATGACTATTATTTATTTTAACCTTAGCTGTAGGGCTGTGCATTGAAAAAATATTGCAGTATACTGCAGTACAGATATCTGTGACACAATACGTATTGCGATATACTGGGAGCTTCAGTGTTTGACAGTGATTGTACAAGCAGATCCTGTTGTTTTTTTATCACCAAATACACCGACACACAAACAAACTTTGCAATATGAATTGCAGTATAGCGGTATAGCGGTAATACTGTGCATTACTAATTACTTGATAGTTGAAAGCAGACTCTAACTGACACACTGCAAATTACCCATTTATCAAAGAAAAACAAAAGACCTATCTACCCTACTTTTGGATGAACTGACATAGGGAACACACATCTGATCTTAGTGACTGATATGCAGGTTTACACACTTGTGGTCTGGTACTAAAGCAAGTTCAAATCTTGAAGGACAAATTGTATGCTTTTTAAATCTAGTCATGTTCCCCAAACCACTCGTCCAAACTGAGACGTGTTTACCCCTGGAAAAGAGTTGCTACCAATATCATTTGAAGTCTTTGAAAGGCATTTAAAAGTGATGCATATTTTGAACAGAATATATGGATGTTGACTTATTTATGATGAGGAACACAACTTTTCGGAGTATAAACTTGCTCCTTCATAGAGGTGTTCCTCATCATAAAGAAGTTGACATCCATAAATTCTCTTCCTGATGAGATGACTTGGGTGTGACAGTACCTCCACGATGGGTCTCAGCTGCACCTCCGCCTCCTTCCTGGCTGTGGATACTTGAACATGGGAGTCAGGAACGATCTGCCGCATCCTCTCCGCATACGACAGCAGCAACGTCCCCCCGGGGCTGGTCACAGGGGCCACATCCACCACGACCAGGGCCTTCAGACGCTCAGGCTGACAACAGTCATGTCTCAGAGTACACAAACAGTGGTGTCACGATTCACCAGAGTATTGACAGTGGAAAATACAACACAAGATATGTTTTGCTTCGGTTTTGTTTGTTTGTTTGTTTGTTAGATGTTTAACGTCACACTCACCCATTTTCCAGCAATATGACCTCAGTCTGTAAAAAGTCAAGTCTGGACCAGACAATCCAGAGATTGATATCATGAGCATCAATCCATGCAATTGGGACAAGATGACCTGCATCAACCAAGTCAGCAAGCCTGACCACCTGATCCCGTTAGCATAATCGCCTCTTACGACAAGCATGGATTGCTGAGGGCCTATTCTACCCCAGATCTTCACGGGTGATTCAGTATTGTCACAGCCCTGGGTCATATGTAGTATATTGGACTATCTCCACAGAAAGATTATTCTTAGAGACAGACATATCAGCTGCCAAACAAGACTATATTGATAGTGTTTGTTGTCCATCGCCTCATTCAGCAATATTCCAGCTAATGATGGCTAGACCAGACAGTGAATGATATCATGAGCAACGATCCACGCCAGTGGGGTACGACAAGCTAGTCACTAAGCCTAACCACTCAATACAATCACCTCTTACAACCAGCACAGGTTGCTGGGGACTGACTCTAACCCAGAATCCCCTCCAAGGTTTTCCAGGCTTTTTTAGTTGCATGTATCTGTTATAAGCCCTAAAAAGCATCACAAATTTTCCAACAAGATGTATTTCCACAACCAACAAATAAAAATAAATTGTCATGAATTCTTCATTGTCTTTGGCACACAAATCTATCACTGTGATAAATCACACCTAAACATTATTCAAAACAAATTCAAGGCTTTTCAAGCTATTTTGGTGATTTTCAAGACTTTTCAAGACTTTTCAAGGTTGATACTAAAATCAAGGCATTTCAAGTCGGGCCTTAATATTCAAGGACTTTTCAAGCCTGTACAAACCTTGCACTCTTACAACAACCATTCTAACCAGGAATCCCCTATCACGACCAACATAGGTTGATGGGAACCCTTTCTACCCAGGGCCCCGTTCCACAAAGCAATCTTAGCGCTACGACTGTCGTAAGTCAGTGTTAAAGAATGGGAGTTACAATCACCTTAGCGCTAAGATCGCTTTGTGGAACGGGGCCCTGGAGTCTCCATCCCTCCTACAGTCAACATACGTTGCTGGGGACCTATTCTAAAGTGCAACCTCTGAGGATATGTATCTATACTATCATCACACAACACACGTCAACAAACACAGCAACAATATTTTCCAGGGAGACACATGGCTCCTCTTACTGGTATTGTTCTGGTAGCAAATGCAATATTTCAGGAGCCAACATGATTCCAAACTCCAAACCTAATGATAATTTGGTTTCAGGTAAGGTTAATTTTTCTGTCATACAAGTGAAGTAGCATTGGTTTCAAAAATATCCAAATATGTTTAAGTTCATTATAAGCCAAGACTTAATGAGAAGGGTGTATCAATTGTTGTCATCAAAGGGATGAGGTAACCAAATACTATCTAGGGCTGTAACGATTCATGCAATACTCAGTTCTAGTACTAGCCTTGTAGAATTTATCAGCTCTGAATAAACATAAATGGTCACCAAATAAAGAGACATCTATTTTCTATTATTTACAGAGCAGCCAAATACATCTACCATGAAAGGATCTCTAACCGTAAGGTCTTCAGGACAAATCTCTCTTTCCCCCCATACCTGTGATAGAGCAAGGGTCATTGCGACCTTGCCTCCCATACTGTGACCAACCAGAACTGTCTGCTCAAGGTGAAGGTCATCCATCAATCGCAGAACATCATCCCTCATGGCATAGTAATCCATGTTGGGACTGTGGTCGCTGTCACCATGGTTACGACCATCAACCGTTATTACCTGTAAAGACATGGAGTTGTTTTAAATTACTAATGCCATGTTTTCGAAAAAAAATTATTATATATAAATTAACCATATTGACAAAATTTGATTGATATAATCCTGAAGATTCTGCCAAAAATCTCTTCCACCATGAAAGTGGTCTGAGAAAGTCTGAGTTTACTCATATCATTTTGGTCTAGTTGTCTTTATAGAACAATAGCAGTGATGTGACGGTACAACTATCCCTCAATATGATGTGTATCGTCATACTTTGTTCACAATACAATACATGTCACGGTACTTAATTTGCAGCAATTCTGAGTGAATTGTCATATTTTCATTGGGCATAAACACTATCAAAAAGGCTTGAAACTTCCTGACTATCTGGTCTCACATTTGAAAATAAAGATGTCTCATTTCAATCAGTACTTTAAAACTTGATTGTCAACATCAGTTAGAAAAAGTCTGGAACAGAATTTAAGTCTTAAAACTATGTACATTATACAATGTAGAATTTAGATAGAGCATAAATTATAAATGTTTTATGAAATGTAGGTAGGGCCCATTTTGCCAACAAAGCAATTCCATTGCTGTCTTAAATGTTCCACATGTAAATCGATATGCAAGATTCCAGCAATATGATGACAGGGGACACTAGGGGGATACTAAGTGAAGGGGGGTTCCTAAGTCCTTGAGGTTTGGTGCTGTGGTATTTGAATCTTTATACACTCAAATATTTAACTTTTAACTTAACAGGGTTATACCGAGAACCCATTGACTTTCTTTTTTCATTTTGGACACTATAATGTGATTTATGTTAGACTATTCAGCATCAAATATACTTTCTTGTATTGATTCATATTTTAATCACATACTAAAGGCGGTATAAAACCCATCTCTCTCACCCTGTGCCCATCCTCTGCCAGCTTCTTGGCAATAGTGTGCCAGTTGGACTTGGAGCCGAACAGTCCGTGTAGCACCATCAGTGGGGCGTAGTCCTTGTTGCCGAGGCTCCCAACCTCCCAGCTGCCAGTCTGCTCAAAGTCATGTTCAGTGTAGGACAGCTTCACAGCCTTGCTGTAAGCAGATCAACACCATGAGGTGTGGCATGTACTTAGTTCTCAAATGGGTTGTCTTTATTTCTGTTCATGTTACTTACGTTATAGGTAATTACTCTTCTTAAATACACAGTCTGTAAATGTATGCTTCGTCTGCAGCTATGTACCTATCTTACTTCATGGTGTACTTCTGGTAACACGCACACAATTCATGTCTGTAGTTTCATAATTTTAATATTAAGGGAAAAATATCAATCAATCATTATGAAGGTAATTGTGTTCCATAAAATCAAAGCTTAGTGTTTCAAAAAAGTAAAAATAAATTGAGGGAATACTCACATTTCAAGCTTATAAAATAACAAATAATATTTACCATGCTTACTGATCTTTGAAGTATCACTTATTAAAAACTTTAAATTATGTTTGGTAATACTAACATTATAACAGCTGACACAGCATTATTTCGGAAACATCTGAATATTTTCCAGTCTAAAAGTTTCTGTTCTTTTATGAATCAATAATCAAACTTAAATCAATGTTCGTACAGATATAAAACAATAAAATTCAAAATCTTTTCAAGGCTTTCCAACTGTCATTTTCAAGGCAATTTAGTAGGGTTATTAGCAATAGTCTGTCAACATTTTATTAAATCCAACATACAATGTATTAGTCAAAAGACATATAAAGCAATATGAAAATAAAATAAATTAAGTCTGTCATGAATTCTTCCTGGTCTTTGACACATAAATCTACCACCATGACCACTGTGATAAATGACACTTAAACACTCTTGGTACACTACTATTATTATTATTAACAAGTATATGTCCTTTTTCACAAATTCAAGGCTTTTCAAGGCTTTTCAAGGCTGACAATAAAAATCAAGGCCTTTCAAGAGGAACCTTAAAATTCAAGGCCTTTTCAACCTGCATGAACCTTGTAAATGGAATTTGGAATTGAATGAGCATGGTAGGAGGATAAAAGCTATGAAGACATGAAACTTTTTATGAATAACAATGTCCTTTTTGTTTGTAACAACGTTTAAGGGTTACTTCTTGCCTCCTCAAAAGGTGTGTGTGTGTGAGAGAATATGATTTTATGGCAATATTTCAGCAATACCACGGCGGAAAAGGGCTTCAAACATTGTACTCATGTGGGTAATCGAACCCCGGTGTTCTGCGTGGCGAACAAACGCTTTACTCACTGGGCTACCCCACCGCCCCCTTCGAAAGGTGAAAAATGAGTGAGCATAATTATGAAAGTTAATCCATATATTCTCATATATTTACACAGGGCATGAAAAAAATATGATAACAGTATGACAAGGAAGTCGATGGGATTAATGAGATTATCATTAGGCAGCAGGGATATCGGAGTGATGAGGCTACGATAAAGACAAGAATGAATGACAGGTAGTTGTCAGGTTTTAGAAAGTGTACAGCTCCTCTTTGCTGCATTGCATCACAAATATGTTGTCAGTTCCATTCATATATTACTAAGGTACAATATTTTAAAAAAAAACTTGAATTACATTTGAGGTGTTGCCTTAAATTTAGGCCAAAAAAAGTAAACTTCCTTTGCCCAAGTTATTATTAACCAAATTATTAACAACTTTCTTTATAATGAGACATTTTATAAGTAATTTGACTTACAAAAAAAATATCATACAATATTTATTTATTTTTTCATGAAAGATTCAACTATGCAGACTAAAGTCATTCAGATTTGGAGCGATTTTTTTTATTTTGCCTGGCGTCTTTCTTGATCTTTCATGTCCCCTTGAATTGACTCCGCGCAGAAGCGTTGATTATCTCAGGTACACTAAAGCATTTACCGATGACTACCACAGAATTCACATATCACACGGTGAATCACGACCCCAGTGACCTCTCGATAAAAAGGCCGGTCCGAAAACGTGGACAGACACGACCCGTCTTTTAGTAACTCTGAAGATCGGATCGATTGCTGGCGATAAACTTACGGATAGGATTGCTTAGCGCTGATGTGACGCACACACTTGTGTACAGACGAGTTGCACAAAACCCTGAGCAGATTAGTGTTCATTTCTGGAGGGCGGTGATGAACATTGCATGTCTTCCTTACCGAAACACTCACTGATCGCCTTCCGAACTAGCAGACGAATTGTCACACACGCACATGCCGGAAGTCTAAAATGACACCAGTATATTTGCCATACAACTAATCATCTATGTACGGTAGTTACTGTCCGAGCACTGGGTGGATTACTATTTCTACGTAAACGAAAGAGCGGTCCATGTTCATTGGTAATAGGAGGGGCTGGGATGTTTAAAAAAAATCATTTTAAGGTTTCGAGGAGCGGGGTCCTGAATAGTAGTTTCGTACTTGTGCACTCTAGTGTGATGGACTGCCATGCAAAATTGTGTATGACAATCTATTGTTTCCATGGTTACCTACAAATCTTAGACATTTAACGAGCGCTTCAGGTGGAGCTGATTTCACTCTCGGCAAAAAGTCGGCCACAGATGTACTTTGTATTTCCCCTTGGGCGAAACAGACTCTCTTCCCAATACTAATTATCGACTGCCCGTTGATAAACACAATTAAAGGAGCACCTTTAGAATACAGTACCACAACTTCTCGTGAGGACGATCTCTGCCGTAGGTCACATGTCACAAGACAAGCAACCAGTTTTAGTGAGAATCCATACAAATAATATATGTATATTAGTTCCCATTTATAACCCTTTTAGCCACTTGAATTACGAGAAAAACGAAATAAAAAATAAAAGTGCTTTCGTAAACTAGCGCTTGCTATAAAATGCGCCGCCGCAGGCTATATTCAGTAAACAAATATTCAAAACTCTCCACAGCGCTTGGCGTATTCAATGACATTGCGTGTAGAGATGATAGATTACTGGGAGGAGCTTATGCACACCCGATGACCCCTGACGTCACAGGGCATTGTTTCGCCGGTGTGACTGGCAACAAAATACTACAAATTATTACTTGCCCGTGAAGAGATGACCCGTTTAATAAACCTACAGCTGTATGACACATTGTGTAATACCAAAACGCGTGCTTATGTACTCTCGGAACACGTTTCACGAACAAATATTGAAAGCTCTCAACATCCCTTGGCTTATTCAACGACATTGCGTGTGGAGATGATAGATCACTGGGAGGAGCTTATGCACACTCGATGACCCTAGCAACCTTGTCGCTAGGCTGACGTCACATGGCATTGTTTCGCCGAAAGATCTTGCAACAAAATTCCACAAATACGTCATCGGGTATTGTGACGTGATTGTCAACTTTGAGGTGCAATGCCCCGTTCCACAAGGCGATCGTACGGTAGCGCAACGACAGTCGCTGGTCTAAGTTAAAGTATGTGAGTTGCGATAACCTTAACGCTACGCTAATTTTGTGGAACGGACGCCTGAATTCTAAAGGTGGGCCGTTGTATGGTATTAAATTCATACGTTTCAACTTTTGACGTGTTTGAAGTATTACTGTGTTAACTAAATTGGATTATGCCGTGGATCGTGTAGGTGTCAGCCTATTCACACTAAACAGTATAATTCTAAACACGTTATAAATGGCCAGTAATAAATAAAATACTAAACTCGCTCCCGTGTAAAACCAAATTTATGAAACTCGTGAATAGTTCTGGTATCTGACTCGCTTTCGCTCGTCAGATACCAGAACTATTCACTCGTTTCATAAAATTGGTATTACACGGGAGCTCGTTTAGTATTCTATATTTACGTCATAAGGTATGATCACGTGTTTGAAAAGTTTGTGGTACTGTATTCTAAAGGTAGGCCCAATCATTAAACTGTTGTGAGTTAGCAGAATAACAAAGTGGGGTTTAAATACTTTGAATCTAACTTGAAGAAACTAAATTGTCGTTAGAGAAGACTAACGGGATCGTGTGGTCAAACTCGTTGAATTGGTTGATGCATGCTATTGTATCCAAATTGCGTAGACCGATGCTCATCATGTCAATCACTGGGATGGTACACGTATAATATGTATCTCATGCTTATCGGTAGTCTAGAAAAAGTCATGGTGCGTAATCAAATGCTGTCACGTGAGATATGAAGTTCACCAGTTTACTTTGGATAAATGTTGGTTTTCACACTTCCGAACTTATTTGCAATTAGGCTGATATTCTTTTACACAACAGTAGATGTCGCCAGAAATATCAGACATAATTAATAACTTGTCGAAAGAAGATAGCATTTATATCATGAGTCATGCGCACACATAGGATGAAACAACTTCCGTTTTCCACCCCTGTAGATAACTTCCTGGAGAAATTTGTCGATAATAATTCCACAAAATGGCCAGGGAATACGATCATCTATTCAAACTTCTAATTATTGGTGACAGTGGTACGTCGATTTTCTTCTGTTTAAAGTTAAAGATCATTCAATCAAGCGTCCCTGTGAGGGAAACTGAACCCGTGGGTTTCGTGATTTTCACTTGAGACGGCTTTAGACTGAGCCGTGTTGTCAGATATCGGGAGTTGTTTAGTTTTCTATAATATATAACACTGAGCGTATAATTTCATGAAGACAGTAGGCGGTTTATATTATCCCGTTTAAAGGAAAGTGTGATGTTGTTGCAACTCAGCTCCTAATCGAATGTGAATGTGACAGCTCATATCAGGAAATAGCGGAAGTTTATAGATTCAGCATAATAATTTTTTTGGGAATTTTGCTTGAATGATCCAGAAGTCAAGTCGTATTTACAAAAAAACAAAAAACGTTTCATATACACATGATACGCATTGTACAAAAAGTTGTGTCAGCTTCTGATTCCGTTAAAAACTACTGACATTTGGTATTTTGTTACAGTTTGTAAATGTAATGAATATGTAATTAATCATAACTACCATTTTCTGTGAGAGTTGTCAAGCAATGTTAGAAATTTACAATTACATTCCCAATTAAATATGTTAATCAGCATAATCTGCTTCAAAGACAGGTATCTACATTACTTAGTATAACACAGACATACCATTAACAAACATAAATCAGAGCGATCAAACAGATACATCAAACAAATTCCCCAATTTATCTTCTCTTTATTAGATAAAATGTATGTATATATAACAAAGTCTTCACAGCAAACTAACGTTAATTGAGAACTGATACCTGATCCCCAACAAGCCCAAGTACCACTAATTGGTGATGTATAGCGAACTGAGAAATCTCACGCAGTGTCAAGTGTCACTGACGGTTGTCTATACACAATCAGCGGCAAATCAACAAACCATGTCAAATCAACACAATCAGCTGTGATGATTCAACCATGTTAAACTTTCTTTATGTTCAACTTACCTGTAAGTGGAATAATGTTGACTGTGAAAAAAACATTAAACATTATGTCATGGCAGGCAGTAGCAAGAGGACTGTTATGTATTTAATCTTCTAAAATGAATGTTCATAAATGTTTTGAATGCTATAAAGTGATCACTGCTAATACAAGTCATGCCGCAACTATGTGTATTGTTTTGTTTTATCTAAGATGGAGCATGTATTCGAGTAAAAACGTATATTAGGAACAACGTATATATCAAACTGATTTCTCTGGTCCCTTGTAATTTGTTATATCCATGTCTACTGTACTTCTGTCTTGTGTTAGTTAGTTCAACCCCATGGGAACTCTGTTTTAGAATGGGTCCCCCGCGACCTATGCAGGTTGTAAGAGGCAACCCAATGGATCGGGTGTTCAGACTCGGTGAGGGGCGGTCGGGTAGTCTGGTGGTTATTGTTCGCTCGTCACGCTGAAAACCCGGGTTCGATTCCCGACATGGTTACAATGTGTGAAGCCCATTTCTGGTGTCCCCCGCCGTGATATTGCTGGAATATTGCTAAAAGCGGCGTAAAATCAAACTCACTCACTCACTCACTCAGACTCAGTGACTTGGTTGATAGCTTGTCATCGTACCTAGCAGCATTGATTGTTGCCAGAGCTCCAGATAAGCTGCGTATCTGCGTAAAATACACATCAGAAATGCAGAAATATGCAGTAAAATAAAATCCAAGCGTATCAAATACGCAACGAACATTACAGATACGCTACAAAAATAAAACTTGTGCGTATCATCAAAATATTGTGAAGAAACCCTGCGTATTCGTTTAGCAAATCAGCAACTTATTTTGAAATTATTAACAGGGATTCCGTCAACCTTGCCAAACTCCACGATGACAGTTACATCATGATCATTTGCCATCACACTTTCTTGTCGAAGTATCGTGGTATTTTTGAGTCCTATAAAGCTCTCGAACCCACACGACACTAGTTTGCAGGGACTAGATGAATAGTGTTTTTGAATATTTAACTTAAATACCCACGTGTAAAAACTAGTGGGTAACAGAAATTTGAATACCCAGATAGAATTACTGATTCCCAATGATTTTAAAATGCATGGGTAAAATACCCACAACACCAAAAGCTGATCTGGAGCTCTGTGTTGCTCTTAATATTTCATAAGCATAAACCAGTTTCATGATGTATGAGTTAGAATGTCGCAATGGTTGCAGACAGCAATGCAGATAATGGAACACATCCTGTTGTTGTTGTTGTCGTTGTTGTTGTTGGTTTATGTCTCCATCAAGCAAGGCAACATGCTAAGAGCTGTGTAAGTGTCAAGATACTACGTACAGTACCACAGTCCCATGGGGATGCCAGATAAGAATTTAGGTCCTCAGCAGCCTATGTTTGTCAATTAAAGGGATCAGGTGGTCAGAGTGTATTTGATGCAATCTAAGTAGAAAATACGCAACATAATGTCCCCATTGTATCGTTGTTATGCAGATCATTCAGATCATAATCAATAATGAAATTATGCTGTACTGTCAGAATATCAAGATCTGAAATATCAAGATCTGAAATATCCCTTGACAAGAAAACATGACTGATATCAGATTTGTTTGATGCTGGAAAGCCCAATGTCTATGAACATATCAGCTGAACAGGCAAGCTATCAGTGGCAGCCAGTCAGAATTAAGTTTCAGTACTTGCTTGTATTTGCTACTTCACATGCAGTTCCAGCATCTAGCCAGTCAAGAAAATATACATCACACTTTGACAAAATCTAATTCTAACTTTAAACCGAAATGTCAAGGGTTCCATATATAACGAATCATAACCAGCGTTAGAAATTTGCACTAGTCCTGTATTCCTTGCCAAACTGCCCAATGGTAAAGGTATCATAAGGACTAGTAGAAATTGGCCCTTTTTAAGGGTTTTGCTATATGTTATCATTATAAGGACTAGTGGACGAAAACTGTTAGGTTCTAACCCTGATAACGAATCATAATACCTCATAGTGCGAGACAACTGGCCAATAACTTCTGCGTTGATGTTTGCAAGTCAACTGAAGAGTTATGAGTGAGTGAGTGAGTATGGTTTTACGCCGCTTTTAGCAATATTCCAGCAATATCACGGCGGGAGACACCAGAAATGGGCTTCACACATTGTACCCATGTCGGGAATCGAACCTGTGTCTTCGGCGTGACGAGCGAACGCTTTAACCACTAGGCTACCCGACCGCCCCTGAAGAGTTATTAAACTAATATCATGAATATAGCAGTTACTTTCTTAATAATAACATATATGTAGGACATTACAATTTGATCAGCTCAACAACTGTGTAAAATATGATTAAAAAGCAGCATTACCATGATTACTGGAAAAAGATGATATTTTTTTAGATACAGTTTGGCCCTCACTCTTTGAACTCACACAAAGTGAAGTCACTTCTTAAGTGAATATAATTTAAAGTAACTCATTTTTGGTAAAACATATATCTTGACCACGACATTAAACCAATTTCACCTCCCCAGTAGACATGATAAATCAAATAGAGGAAACAGAAAAAGTCATGATACATTGAAAAAGTAGGACACAAAAAAAAGTCGAGTTGCATAAAATTTGACATTTACTTTTGAATGTTTACAAAGCAGGAACAGCTCATGCATCATGATGAGGATAATATTACCGATAAGGGTAAAAAGAATTATGTGTCATATGCATGGGTTAAAAGATTTATGGTAAATCAATTGCTAGCTGATAGCTGTCCATGATAGCTGTCAAAGCTGTGACCGCCACCTGTCTGTATGGTGAGTGTTGATGACTTGCATACATGCAGGGCTCCGGATATCCATGACATTTATTCACATGTTCACTGAGATTTAATATACCCCCGACCTAAAAGGGTGTATTATCTGAAAAAATATGATGTTTTTGATGTTGTGAATGTTTTTACTGAAACATTTGTGCGACCTATAACTTGAAAACTACTTCATGGAGTATTTTCCAGTTGGGGTATAGTTGCCAGTAGGAGAGGTGCAGTGTAAATTTGATTTCAACAAGTGGATTTTCTCTGAAAATATTGCTTTTTTCATGTTTTGAAGCCCTGTCTTGTTTGTATTGGTTTTGTTTGTATATTTTTACTCCTTTGGGTCCAGTTGATTGGATGTTTTTTAACCAGTGAGTATATTATTTTACACATAATTCTGCTGAAGAGTCTGTTTCATTTGACCTCAAACCTGTATCTGCTGCCCTAGTTTAAACTGACATTTAGTCCTTGAAATACTGATATCTTATTTTAAGAACATTATCCCAAAAATAAAAATTAAACTCCAAATGGAGCCGAGTACAATGCTCAAGTTCAGCTGAGGCAATCTAGACTTGCTAAGTCAATTTAGGCTTGAGTTGGATTCATTTTCTAATTTATTCTGAAGGGTCTGGCCCTAAATTTGTCGCTTGTCACACAAGCTTACAAAAGAAAAACATGCTGCAGTGATCATAAGAGAGACATGCGTTATTCACTGCAGTGGGTCTATGTTTAGCATGTTTTGACTATGCCTGTTGTCGATCAGTAAATTATAGTTTGTAAAGTGCTACAGTGAAAAGGCTACAGTGGATAATTGTTGTACTGGATTTTTAAAAAATCTTGTGCATACTTGTACGCAAGAAACTCAAAATTGATTGAGTAATGGTGATTTATTTTGCATGTTTTATGCAAATTCGCAGCTTATCTGCATGAGTGAACTGTGATCATGTTTGGGATGGGTTGTCATGACATTATCTCTCTCATCTGTGTAGGTGTCGGCAAGAGCAGTTTGCTGCTGAGATTCGCTGACAATACTTTCTCAGGTAAGTACTTCAGTTGTTTCTTTGCACAAATACAAACTAAACTAGACTTGTTTGAATAATCCACTTTCCCTTCTAACCATGCTAACCCTTGTGGTATGGGTTGATATAGACCAGATCCCTGGAGAAGAGGAATTGTAATCGGGGTCTGGTTAAACCTGGCTGGTTGTGAGTGAGTGAGTGAGTGAGTTGGGTTTGATGCTGCGTTTAGTCCATCCTCCATAGCCATGTTATCTCCAGGGCTTGCATTTCAGTAAACCTACACCAACCCCTTTGATCTATTGGGATCAGGAGCGGTCGGGTAGCCTAGTGGTTAAATAGTTCGCTCGTCACGCGGAAGACCCGGGTTCGATTCCCGACATGGGTACAATGTGTGAAGTCCATTTCTGGTGTCCCCTGCCGTGATATTGCTGGAATACTGCTAAAAGCGGCGTAAAACCACACACTCACACTCACTCACTCACTCACTCACTCACTCACTCACTCACTCACTCACTCACTCACTCACTCACTCACTCACTCACTCACTCACTCACTCACTCACTCACTCACTCACTCACTCACTCACTCACTCACTCACTCACTCACTCACTCACTCACTCACTCACTCACTCACTCACTCACTCACTCACTCACTCACTCACTCACTCACTCACTCACTCACTCACTCACTCACTCACTCACTCACTCACTCACTCACTCACTCACTCACTCACTCACTCACTCACTCACTCACTCACTCACTCACTCACTCACTCACTCACTCACTCACTCACGTGGGTCTCGGCCTCAGATTAACCGCCCTTGATTTTTCATTAACATTTTATTTATCAACCAATCAAATGTTGAGATTAGGAAAAAGGAAATTGGGTAAGGGAGGTAAATTGTATTGCCTCGAAACCAAAGCCGCGCCAGTTTTAATGGACATAAAAAAAACATCTATCAAAAAGATATTTGAGGGCTTTCTTTAATGTGTGGTAGTCAGTTTTTTTAATGTGTAATTTCCTGCAAACACTATCATGATCAATGGGACTGGCGGCCATGTTGTTGATATCACCAACCCAACATTGAATCTGGTGTGTACCTCACATTGTGTTTGGCCTGTTAGACTGAGTAGCGTTGCAAATCAAACTGGCTAATGTTAATCAAGGGCAGGTAATATGAGATCTCGAGAACCACAGTAATCAATCCAAGGGTTAGTGTAGGTTTAGACCGCCTCCGTGGTCTAGTGGTAGAGCGGAAGGTCCGGGGTTTGATCCCCGACCACGTCATACCAAAAGACGTTAAAAGATGGTACTTGTTGTTACCCTGTCTGACGCTCGGCATTAGGGGGCTAAAACAAGGACTGGTCGGCTCGTAGTCAGTATACTGTGTCTGAGTGGGGTATTCGTGTTAGCTAGCACTATAAATCGGCATCAGTCCAGACTAGTACAAGCAGCCACACACACACACACGTGCATGCACGTCGCTATATAAGTGCAATAATCTTGGACGCGACGTTAAACCCATTTTCACCTCACCTAGTGTAGGTTTACAGAAATGTGACCCCTGGACCCTGGATTATAGAGGATGCTTTAAGCCATACTTCAGCAATATCTCAACAAGGTCACGAGAGACGGGCTTCACAAACTGACTAACAGGACCAGACACACAGACTTGGTTAATGCATGTCTTCGTATCCAAATTGCATAGATCGAAGCTCATGATGTCAATCACTGACATCCGGTCAAGACTTGATTATTTTCATATAGCTGGAATATTGCTGAGTGCGGCTTTATAAAAGTAAAGAAACCAACTACAGTGAACTACATTTATAACAAACACGCTTATAATGAATTGACCGATATAACAAACTTATGTTTTAGTCCCGACCATTTGTTGTATAAATGCTGTTTATATGCTTATAACGAACTACGGATATTATGAACTAAAATTAGTGGTCCCTTCGAGTTTGTTATAAGCGTAGTTTACTGTAAATGATTTGTTAGTTGAAAGCAGCGACACTGGAACAGATGTATGTATTCATGGGTGGAACGTAGTGGAAATGATCAGTGAACTATTGACAATGCTGAATATGAAGCTACATGGAGGTAAGCTATTCTGATTGCTTCAGGAACGTATATCACGACAATCGGGGTCGACTTCAAGATACGAACAGTGGACGTGAACGGGGAAAAGGTCAAACTTCAGATCTGGGATACTGCAGGACAAGAGAGGTTCCGGACCATTACATCCACGTAAGTAATCTTGCTATCTCAATGTTTAGGACACAAGTTTGTTTAGCTATGTTATTACTGCAGACATGGTTGGTGTGACTTGGTCGTAGGTAGTCCATGTGGTCAACACATGGTCAATAGACAGTGTCTGAAAACAAGAATGAAAGTCATGGGGCCCTTGTCGTAACTCAGTGCTAGTCATCTTAATAGCTGCATGATTGCTAATGCGGCATTTTAAGCACTAATCACCATGATCACTTACTTTTTACTTGTCACTACCCTAATGTTTTGAAGACAAATTTTTGAGGAACCCTTGATTCCAGCACTACAGCTGATGACCTCAGGGACTCCAAGTCCCCTTTTTATTTCTAACATGGCTGATTTTGAACTTGATTGAAACAATTACCTGCCCTGAAATTTCCTTTTTTTTTTTTTTTTTTTAAAATCATACTCATGCCATGATTTGATGTAATACTAATTTAAAATAGGAGTGAAGGTTGATAAGAATATGAGACTCATGACTTCATTGTCCATGTGGTGCTGTTTCTTGATGATGAAATGGATCAAGTTCATATTTTGTGATAATATATTTTAAGTCACGACGAAATTGTGCTGAACATGCTAAAGCATGCTTATTTAACAAATAAATTAGATTAGAGAATTTCACCTTAGTGTCTTTTGATATCAAATATATCAACAGGAGTCCATTAAAGGTTAAGAAACTCTGAGTCATGCCAAGGAAAGCACAAGTGGAAGATTTTATTTATCATCCCAAATCATTCTTCCAGTTTTAGACCATACGCTGATTTTTTGTGTTTAGAAGTTTTTTTATGCTTTGTCATTAAACAATGCGGTAAAGTTGAGCATGTTCAGTCGCCAGTGAAACCTGCCAATAAAAAGATTGTTAGAGGTTGTGTGTTGTGTTTCAGATATTACCGAGGCACACATGGAGTGATTGTCGTCTACGATGTCTCAAGCGGCGAGTCCTTCGCAAATGTCAAGAGATGGCTACACGAGATTGACCAGAACTGTGATGTTGTTAATAGGATTCTAGGTGAGCTTTGAAGTGAAGCTGTACTAGTAGTACTAGTATGACTCGAGACTAGTCAGTGGGATCAGAGGTCATAATGGCCGTTTTGTCCAGTGTTGTGTTTGTTGTGTTGTAAACGTCTTCTCCTCAGAAACCACAGGGACAATGATACTGAATTGTCACATGCTGCTGAATTGTCACATGCTGCTGAATTGTCACATGCTGCATCCACCATTGATGACACCTGAATTTGTTCAGTGGGTTCAAGTCCTATTTTCAAGATGGCCACTACTACAGCCATATTTGAAATACTATTAATGGCAATTATTAAGCCAATTTCATTCAAAATGTAATTAAGTTTTGGGTATACTCTACATGGAGTTAGTAGTACTCAACAAATGTTCTATATTTCTCAATATTTGGCATTGGACCTTGATTTGACTTTTGCACTTCAACCATGCTCTTAAATTCTTCTAAAATATGTTCCCTTGCTCTGTAAACATCTTGACATTCCCATGCAATGTAAATATCTATGTAAACATCTTGACATTCCCTTGCACTGTAAACATCTTGACATTCCTTTGCACTGTAAACATCTTGATATTCCCTTGCACTTTAAACATCTTGACATTCCCTTGCACTGTAAACATCTTGACATTCCCTTGCACTGTAAACATCTTGACATTCCCTTGCACTGTAAACATCTTGACATTACCTTGCACTGTAAACATCTTGACATTGCCTTGCACTGTAAACATCATGACACTCCCTTGCACTGTAAACATCTTGACATTCCCTTGCACTGTAAACATCTTGACGTTCCCTTGCTCTGTAAACATCTTGACATTCCCTTGCACTGTAAACATCTTGACATTTCCTTGCTCTGTAAACATCTTGACTTCACTTGCACTGTAAACATCATGACACTCCCTTGCACTGTAAACATCTTGACATTCCCTTGCACTGTAAACATCTTGACACTCCCTTGCTCTGTAAACATCTTGACATTCTCTTGCTCTGTAAACATCTTGACATTCCCTTGCTCTGTAAACATCTCGACTTCACTTGCACTGTGAACATCTTGACATTCCCTTGCACTGTAAACATCTTGACATTCCCTTGCTCTGTAAACATCTTGACTTCACTTGCACTGTAAACATCATGACACTCCCTTGCACTGTAAACATCTTGACATTCCCTTGCACTGTAAACATCTTGACACTCCCTTGCTCTGTAAACATCTTGACATTCTCTTGCTCTGTAAACATCTTGACATTCCCTTGCTCTGTAAACATCTTGACATTCCCTTGCACTGTAAACATCTTGACATTCCCTTGCACTGTAAACATCTTGACATTCCCTTGCACTGTAAACATCTTGACTTCACTTGCACTGTAAACATCATGACACTCCCTTGCACTGTAAACATCTTGACGTTCCCTTGCACTGTAAACATCTTGACATTCCCTTGTACTGTAAACATCTTGACACTCCCTTGCACTGTAAACATCATGACATTCCCTTGTACTGTAAACATCTTGACACTCCCTTGCACTGTAAACATCATGACATTCCCTTGTACTGTAAACATCTTGACACTCCCTTGCACTGTAAACATCATGACATTCCCTTGCACTGTAAACATCATGACATTCCCTTGCACTGTAAACATCTTGACACTCCCTTGCACTGTAAACATCTTGACATTCCCTTGCTCTGTGAATATCTTGACATTCCCTTGCTCTGTAAACATCTTGACATTCCCTTGCTCTGTAAACATCATGACACTCCCTTGCACTGTAAACATCATGACACTCCCTTGCACTGTAAACATCTTGACATTCCCTTGCACTGTAAACATCTTGTAATTCCCTTGCACTGTAAACATCTTGACATTCCCTTGCACTGTAAATATCTTGACATTCCCTTGCTCTGTAAACATCTTGACATTCCCTTGCTCTGTAAACATCATGACACTCCCTTGCACTGTAAACATCTTGACATTCCCTTGCACTGTAAACATCTTGTAATTCCCTTGCACTGTAAACATCTTGACATTCCCTTGCACTTTAAACATCTTGACATTCCCTTGCACTTTAAACATCTTGATATTCCCTTGCACTGTAAACATCTTGACATTCCCTTGCACTGTAAACATCTTGTAATTCCCTTGCACTGTAAACATCTTGACACTCCCTTGCACTGTAAACATCTTGACACTCCCTTGCACTGTAAACATCTTGACATTCCCTTGCACTGTAAACATCTTGTAATTCCCTTGCACTGTAAACATCTTGACATCCCCTTGCACTGTAAACATCTTGACATTCCCTTGCACTGTAAACATCTTGACTTCACTTGCACTGTAAACATCATGACATTCCCTTGCACTGTAAACATCTTGACATTCCCTTGCACTGTAAACATCTTGACTTCACTTGCACTGTAAACATCATGACACTCCCTTGCACTGTAAACATCTTGACATCCCTTGCACTGTAAACATCTTGACATTCCCTTGCACTGTAAACATCTTGACTTCACTTGCACTGTAAACATCATGACATTCCCTTGCACTGTAAACATCTTGTAATTCCCTTGCACTGTAAACATCTTGACATTCCCTTGCACTGTAAACATCTTGTAATTCCCTTGCACTGTAAACATCTTGACATTCCCTTGCACTGTAAACATCTTGACATTCCCTTGCACTGTAAACATCTTGACATTCCCTTGCACTGTAAACATCTTGACATTCCCTTGCACTGTAAACATCTTGACATTCCCTTGCTCTGTAAACATCATGACGCTCCCTTGCACTGTAAACATCATGACACTCCCATGCACTGTAAACATCTTGACATTCCCTTGCACTGTAAACATCTTGACACTCCCTTGCACTGTAAACATCTTGACATTCCCTTGCACTGTAAACATCTTGTAATTCCCTTGCACTGTAAACATCATGACATTCCCTTGCACTGTAAACATCTTGACATCCCTTTGCACTGTAAACATCTTGACATCCCCTTGCACTGTAAACATCTTGACATCCCTTTGCACTGTAAACATCTTGACATCCCTTTGCACTGTAAACATCTTGACATTCCCTTGCACTGTAAACATCATGACACTCCCTTGCACTGTAAACATCTTGACATTCCCTTGCACTGTAAACATCTTGACACTCCCTTGCTCTGTAAACATCTTGACATTCCCTTGCTCTGTAAACATCATGACACTCCCTTGCACTGTAAACATCTTGACATTCCCTTGCACTGTAAACATCTTGTAATTCCCTTGCACTGTAAACATCTTGACATTCCCTTGCACTTTAAACATCTTGACATTCCCTTGCACTTTAAACATCTTGATATTCCCTTGCACTGTAAACATCTTGACATTCCCTTGCACTGTAAACATCTTGTAATTCCCTTGCACTGTAAACATCTTGACACTCCCTTGCACTGTAAACATCTTGACACTCCCTTGCACTGTAAACATCTTGACATTCCCTTGCACTGTAAACATCTTGTAATTCCCTTGCACTGTAAACATCTTGACATCCCCTTGCACTGTAAACATCTTGACATTCCCTTGCACTGTAAACATCTTGACTTCACTTGCACTGTAAACATCATGACATTCCCTTGCACTGTAAACATCTTGACATTCCCTTGCACTGTAAACATCTTGACTTCACTTGCACTGTAAACATCATGACACTCCCTTGCACTGTAAACATCTTGACATCCCTTGCACTGTAAACATCTTGACATTCCCTTGCACTGTAAACATCTTGACTTCACTTGCACTGTAAACATCATGACATTCCCTTGCACTGTAAACATCTTGTAATTCCCTTGCACTGTAAACATCTTGACATTCCCTTGCACTGTAAACATCTTGTAATTCCCTTGCACTGTAAACATCTTGACATTCCCTTGCACTGTAAACATCTTGACATTCCCTTGCACTGTAAACATCTTGACATTCCCTTGCACTGTAAACATCTTGACATTCCCTTGCACTGTAAACATCTTGACATTCCCTTGCTCTGTAAACATCATGACGCTCCCTTGCACTGTAAACATCATGACACTCCCATGCACTGTAAACATCTTGACATTCCCTTGCACTGTAAACATCTTGACACTCCCTTGCACTGTAAACATCTTGACATTCCCTTGCACTGTAAACATCTTGTAATTCCCTTGCACTGTAAACATCATGACATTCCCTTGCACTGTAAACATCTTGACATCCCTTTGCACTGTAAACATCTTGACATCCCCTTGCACTGTAAACATCTTGACATCCCTTTGCACTGTAAACATCTTGACATCCCTTTGCACTGTAAACATCTTGACATTCCCTTGCACTGTAAACATCTTGACATCCCTTTGCACTGTAAACATCTTGACATCCCCTTGCACTGTAAACATCTTGACATCCCTTTGCACTGTAAACAGCTTGACATCCCTTTGCACTGTAAACATCTTGACATCCCTTTGCACTGTAAACATCTTTACATTCCCTTGCACTGTGAACATCTTGACATTCCCTTGCACTGTAAACACCTTGACATCCCCTTGCACTGTAAACATCTTGATATTCCCTTGCACTGTAAACATCTTGAAGAATCTTCTTCTCTGACACTGCCAGACTGAGGACACATGTATGCTGAACACATGTATGTATCTTCTTTTGATGACATCACCTTTTGTGCAAGTCTGTAGAATTTTGTGTTAGTTGTAGTCTTCTGTATGCAGCAAGTATTGTCTGCAGCTTCATGCCTCCAGACTGCTGGTCATGTATGTATCCCTCTGAAGGCATAAGAAGCTGCACAGTTTCAGGACAATTTTGTAAATAAAATATTGTTTTTATGATGGATATGATTTTTCCAGTAGCAGAAGTTTTTGTAACCATGGTAACCTTGCTTCCAGTTGGTAACAAGGACGATGACCCTGACAGAAAGGTGGTGTTGACTCAGGATGCTCAGCGCTTTGCCGACCAGATGGGTATCCAGTTGTACGAGACGAGCGCCAAGGAAAACATTAATGTTGAAGAGGTGCGGTACTACTAGGGCTGTGTACATGTTGCTATCAACTGAGGCCTTTTTTGATGTTGGTTGACAACCAATACGTTCCCTTTTTTTTATAAAAGTAAAACATGACGTGACATGAGAAGGCAAGGCACCAGCATGTGGCTAGAGTTACTGCCCCTTACTGTCAATGCTGACTTGTTACGTAAACCATTGCAGAAGCGATTCCTTGTACAAAGTATCTAGTTTAGATGGCAAAGTTGTCTCATTGACAATATTCTAGAAATATATGTTTTTATTCAAACACAGAAGTTTTTCGGCGTGGCAGTGATAAAAATATATTTTTAATGATATAATTTTTTTTTAAAAATCAGGATTTTGAGTCACGATCAGCATCAATGTTTTTTCAAAATAGGCATCTCTGCACCTGCCATTCCTTATGTTATGTACTGTCAGATATACTCCATGTCTTGTGCTACTGTAACCAAGGATTGGTTTGTGTCTGTAATAACCCATGTTGGTATTCTGGGTTGAATAGGGCCCAGCCACCTAACTGGATCATGTGGTCAGACTTGGTGGGTAAGTTACTAACGTGTCATTATACACCAATGCTCTTAATATCAATCACTGGATTGTCTGGCCTAGTTGGGATTGTTGAGAGGCTGCCATAATAGGGCTGGAATATTGCTCAGTGCAGCGTTAAACAACAAACACATCAGCTAATTGACTGTAAGTTTATCTATTTGTATGAAGGGTTGGTGGGTAGTCTTGTACTTCACTCATATTTAAGGCCTGTGTTTGATTCCCTACTTGGGTACATATCCTACAATATGTGAAGCTCATTTCTGGTGTCGCCATCATGATATTGCTGGAATGTTGATAAAAGTGGCGTTAATAATGGACCTGTTTTACTCCATTATGATACCTCTCTGTATGAAGATTTAAGGACACTACCATGGCAGGTTGCATTGCGCAGCTGATTGAACATTTCACGACCAATCTGAATGAAAGATGAGTGGGGTTTTGTGTCAGTCAGATGTCAGCCTTTTACAATCGATGGATACTGTTCTTTGGTACCTTAATTCGTAAATTTTAGTCTAGGCCAAAGAACACAAACATATCCTCAATCAGTCAGTAGTACCTTCTTTTGGTTTTAGAGGCTATGGTGATCAGAAAAGACATCAAATGTCCTTAAGAAATTATGATAACACAGCTTTATTTGTTTGCATTTGGAACTCCTTGATCATATTCATTTTCGAGATACCGAAATGAGATAAACCTGTCTGATTGGCTGACAAGAAAGTTCACCTGATGCAACCTGCTAAGGAGGCATCATCGATCTTCGCACAGGGAGTGTAGAAGGAGTTCAAGATCTGATTTTTTAGTTTGTTCGTTTTTTGTTTAACGCCACACTCAGCAATATTCCAGCTTTGTGACGGGGGTTTGTAAATAATCGAGTCTGGACCAGACAATCCAGTGATTGACATCAAGAGCATCGATGCATGCAATTGGGATACAATGACATGCATCAACCAAGTCAGCGAGCCTGACCACCCGATCCCGTTAGAGGCCTCTTTAGACAAGCATGGTCACTTTATAGGGCAAATGAAGGCCTATTCTATCCCGGATCTTCACAGGTCGATTTTAATGAGGTTGAACTCACTCTCCTGTTACAGATGTTCCTAGCCATTACGCGCCTGGTTTTATCCACAAAGAAAGAGCAACAGAAGAAAGCGGCAGATGCTCCCCAGACAATAAAACTGGATGGCCACAGAGGCAGCAAGAAGAAGAAGTGCTGCTAACAGATCTAGGATGTGTAGATACTTTTAGTTTAACCAATTCACTGTTGCCAACTGGTCGCCATCTGCAGGAGATGACAGAAGACATGGCACTGGCGACAATCATTTCGATCAAATCACAGAAAGCCACACATTGGTAGCAAGATTAAGTTTATTCCTTAAAAATGCATATTTTTAGAGAAAGCTGTAACATAAGTCACTGTATAAAGATACTTTTGCAATTTAAAATTTGAATTTGTATTTTTAGATAAAGGTTTCGGTTTTTTGTAACAGATCCTTTTACAAATGTTTTAAGTATTTTGCATACAATTGTATAGACTTGTGTTTCAAATCATCAAATATGAACACGGAATCACAGAAAAAATTGTTATTAAGATATTGCAGTGTATATAAATTTGCAAGCATGAGTTTGTACATTCAAAGAGATTTCAGTTTTCACCTTTTGTCAATATGATTCTTCCTAATTTTTCATGTTGCTATGACTACCTATGTATTTGCAGATTTGCTCAGAAAACAATCCTCTTCAATTTTTCATAATCATTCTTTTTCAACGGTTAATGACATTTGATACAGGCAATGTTGGTATGTTGTTTAATGCGTTAACAACTGCATTCTACTGAAACGTGAGAGTTGGGTTTCTTTCTTGAAAGCCAAGAATGTGTATTGACCCCCAAGTTTCTGGAGACTGGATGATGTATCCCTGCAGGCCAGTGATCACTGGGTACGTGTGTTATGCATTTCACTGTCTGTTTATATTTCAAGCTTCAGATGTTTTGCGTTCATATCAACTTTCTTGAATATATGTGTAAATCATTTAAGTCTCATAGTAAATAATGTGGACTCTTGTCCAGCTCTCAGCTCGGGCTGGCTGTGCTTGTGTAGTTTTTAACCCCATAAGTCCATCAGCTCTGATGTTTGAGGTCAGTGTTGAACACAGAAATATCAGGGGAATTCAGAACAAAACATTATATATACAATTAAACCTTTTTTATCCAGACATTATTGTTCCCAATGAAGAGCCGGATTAATGATGAATGAAAATAAGGTCCATATTTCCGCACCCTCTGGGAGCATGCGCAAAGCACCACGAATTATTGAATAATGTGTTTGATAGGGCTCCTTTAAGTACATGGAAATGTTCCAAGCAGGGATCGTCCGGAATGTGGGTTTTCTTGATTAAAGGGGGTCCTGACTAATGAGGGTTGGTGTACATCTTAAAATCTCCCATACGCTTGCCGGTTCTTGTACCAGTTTAGTCTGAGTATGTTGTAGCGCAGTCAAGGGATTTGTTGGCACCATGTGGGAGACTGCAAGTTGAATGACAACCACATGTACAGCAGAATCATAGTCAGCAAATTCTTAGCAATGTTTATATACATGGTATGATCTTTTATGTTGCCATGGTATCGCGTTAAGGAATTCCTGTGTTCTGACCCCAAGACACCCTGAAATGGAAGCTTTTGCATGCCGGACTGGTTGCTGTAGCATGGTAACATGTATGCCCCTTAATCAAGGAAAATGGGTCAAACTTTGAGGTTTTAAACTGACATTGTTTCAACAGTGCCATGTTACCTTTAACCACATTAACAGGGCTGTTTATTATAAAGTTGAAAGTTGATGCAATCTCACTAAAATCAGATCTTAGTTTTCGCTATTGCTAAATAAAGATTTGAGGACATCCCATTACGGGTCACATCAGAACGACCTTCCATCAGTTCATCCAACCGTCAAAATCAGAGCGTCGCTTACCAGATCATGAAAGTGACAGTCGGAATGTGTTTTCTAATCATGCAACCACGAAGTATTTAACACGGGGTATTCTGATCGACAGGTACGGTCATTATGATTATACCCATACAATCTAAGCCATCTATAAGCCATTCCAGAATGTTCTTCTTATTAGTTTTAATTTTTGTAATCGAGAATATGTCAGAATATGTTTCGAAGCGTAGTTGCCAGTTTGAAACAAGTGTCATAAAGCTCGAGAAAGCTGCCTTCTGATTGGCTAATGGCGATTTCTTGTCAGTCATTTCATTGGTCGGTCAAAATTCGCGAAAGGTCGCTCTGACGTGACCCGTAATGGGATATCCTCAGATCTTTGTTTAGCGGTAGGGAAAACTAAGATCTGATTTTAATGAGATTGAAGTTAATGTTTATGGGTGTTAAAATCATTGACGTGATATCAGCCATATTTTGTTATACGCTGAATTGTAATACATATTTCCTTACAATTTCATTTTATTATAAAACACATTGGACTAGTCATGTTGTTTTTTTACCTTCAGTGTAATTTGTTGTCATTTGCCAACCGTTTCTCCCCTAATATAGGGAGTTGGTAGACTCCATCTATTCAAGTTGGCAAGTCCAATGACATTATAGGGGGTAACAGGTTTCACTGATCTCTGTTGTGTCATAATGTGTTCTCATCTGTCTATCAAGTCATAATCAGCTCTAGCAAAGTAAACTGGTACTTAAGTATTAAAGAAGATATATAAGTATTAAATCATCTAAAGTGGTCTATTGTAGAAGCTGGACTCATGATATGATTTCAACACTTGATGTATGAGCCGAGTATGTGGAGTCCGTATGACTCTCAGTCAGGGTGCAAGCCTACTTGGGCTACGGACACGATGAACTTTGAACAATATTGCAAAACCCTGCTTAACCATGGCTTTCTCTCCTCTCATCTAAACATCATCCAATGTCAGCATGTTCACATACAGGGTAGTGACAAGGACAGACAACCTGCTCAAACAATGGCCATAACACCCTAGTGCTGTAACAATGACCATAACAACCTAGTGCTGTAACAATGGCCATAACGCTCTAGTGCTGTAACAATGGCCATAACGCCCTAGTGCTGTAACAATGGCCATAACGCTCTAGGGCTGTAACAATGGCCATAACACCCTAGTGCTGTAACAATGACCATAACGCTCTAGTGCTGTAACAATGGTCATAACGCTCTAGTGCTGTAACAATGGCCATAACACCCTAGTGCTGTAACAATGGCCATAACGCTCTAGTGCTGTAACAATGGCCATAACGCTCTAGTGCTGTAACAATGGCCATAACGCTCTAGGGCTGTAACAATGGCCATAACGCCCTAGTGCTGTAACAATGGCCATAACGCTCTAGTGCTGTAACAATGGCCATAACGCTCTAGTGCTGTAACAATGGCCATAACGCTCTAGTGCTGTAACAATGGCCATAACGCTCTAGGGCTGTAACAATGGCCATAACGCTCTAGTGCTGTAACAATGGCCATAACGCTCTAGTGCTGTAACAATGGTCATAACACCCTAGTGCTGTAACAATGGTCATAACACCCTAGTGCTGTAACAATGACCATAACGCCCTAGTGCTGTAACAATGGCCATAACGCTCTAGTGCTGTAACAATGGCCATAACACCCTAGTGCTGTAACAATGGTCATAACACCCTAGTGCTGTAACAATGGCCATAACACCCTAGTGCTGTAACAATGACCATAACACCCTAGTGCTGTAACAATGGTCATAACACCCTAGTGCTGTAACAATGGCCATAACACCCTAGTGCTGTAACAATGGCCATAACACCCTAGTGCTGTAACAATGGCCATAACGCTCTAGTGATGTAACAATGGCCATAACAACCTAGTGCTGTAACAATGGCCATAACACCCTAGTGCTGTAACAATGGCCATAACGCTCTAGGGCTGTAACAATGGCCATAACGCTCTAGTGCTGTAACAATGGCCATAACACCCTAGTGCTGTAACAATGACCATAACGCCCTAGTGCTGTAACAATGGCCATAACACCCTAGTGCTGTAACAATGACCATAACGCCCTAGTGCTGTAACAATGGCCATAACACCCTAGTGCTGTAACAATGACCATAACGCCCTAGTGCTGTAACAATGGCCATAACGCTCTAGTGCTGTAACAATGGCCATAACACCCTAGTGCTGTAACAATGGTCATAACACCCTAGTGCTGTAACAATGGCCATAACACCCTAGTGCTGTAACAATGGCCATAACACCCTAGTGCTGTAACAATGGTCATAACACCCTAGTGCTGTAACAATGGCCATAACACCCTAGTGCTGTAACAATGGCCATAACACCCTAGTGCTGTAACAATGGCCATAACACCCTAGTGCTGTAACAATGGTCATAACACCCTAGTGCTGTAACAATGGCCATAACACCCTAGTGCTGTAACAATGGCCATAACACCCTAGTGCTGTAACAATGGCCATAACACCCTAGTGCTGTAACAATGGCCATAACACCCTAGTGCTGTAACAATGGCCATAACACCCTAGTGCTGTAACAATGGTCATAACACCCTAGTGCTGTAACAATGGTCATAACACCCTAGTGCTGTAACAATGGCCATAACACCCTAGTGCTGTAACAATGGCCATAACACCCTAGTGCTGTAACAATGGTCATAACACCCTAGTGCTGTAACAATGGTCATAACACCCTAGTGCTGTAACAATGGCCATAACACCCTAGTGCTGTAACAATGGCCATAACACCCTAGTGCTGTAACAATGGCCATAACACCCTAGTGCTGTAACAATGGCCATAACACCCTAGTGCTGTAACAATGGCCATAACGCTCTAGGGCTGTAACAATGGCCATAACGCTCTAGTGCTGTAACAATGGCCATAACAACCTAGTGGTGTAACAATGGCCATAACAACCTAGTGCTGTAACAATGGCCATAACAACCTAGTGCTGTAACAATGGCCATAACGCTCTAGGGCTGTAACAATGGCCATAACAACCTAGTGGTGTAACAATGGCCATAACAACCTAGTGCTGTAACAATGGCCATAACACCCTAGTGCTGTAACAATGGCCATAACGCCCTAGTGCTGTAACAATGGCCATAACACCCTAGTGCTATAACAATGACCATAATGCCCCAGTCTGTAACAATGACCATAATGCCCTAGTGATGTAACAATGGCCATAATGCCCTAGTGCTGTAACAGTGGCCATAATGCCCTAGTGATGTAACAATGACCATAATGCCCTAGTGCTGTAACAATGACCATAATGCCCTAGAGCTGTAACAATGGCCATAATGCCCTAGTGCTGTAACAATGACCATAATGCCCTAGTGCTGTAACAATGACCATAATGCCCTAGTGCTGTAACAATGACCATAATGCCCTAGTGCTGTAACAGTGGCCATAATGCCCTAGTGCTGTAACAATGACCATAATGCCCTAGTGCTGTAACAATGGCCATAACGCCCTAGTGCTGTAACAATGGCCAAAATGCCCTAGTGCTGTAACAATGGCCATCACCCCATAGTGGTGTATGATGAGATATATTTGGGAGGCATTAATAAGAACACTAACAGGATTGGGTGGTAAGACCCGCTGACTTGGTTGATGCATGCCATCTGGTCCAGACTCAATTATTTACAGACTGCCGTCATAAAGCTGGAATATTGGTGCGTGCGGCTTTCAACAACAAACAAACAAAAAGTAAAAAAACATTCCACAATGACATAATGATTGGTAATATTTTATTATTCTTGAAAAAGTGTTGCTTTCTAAATCAATCTTCTTTTGAAAGCTATTTACATGTACAATGTACCATAATTAATGTACTTAATGACCCTGACCTTTTATTAGGTCAAATATATCGTGCAGTACTACAGATCTGGCAATTGTGCAACCTAGCATATTTGAAAAGGCATTAAAAAATGACATAAATACTATTAGGTATAAACTCTTACTGTAACAATGTATATGAAAACTTTGTCAGCTTTTTTATCTCAAGTTTTATAAACTTGTATGTATCCTATCCTTTCCACCTTATTTATGAATATCGATATGTTTTACATACATGTTACCAGGACTGCTTTGTCATTAATTTCCCTGTGCCAGGTTTAAATGTATTTCCCTAAATATATCTCAATATCTAAATATTTACTCTGGAATTCGTGAGTTGCCTCCCTTAGGCATGCCAGAATCCTATGGACATGGGTTCAAATCCCATTTCTCTCTGATTATGTCTCTAGGTTTCTCAGCACCATACCCATGCTTGTTGGTTTCACCAAAGTGGTAAACGTCCAAGACTTGCATCAATTCAGGTTTTCCTCCCACATCAAGCGGACACGCTGATATGACTGATAGAGTGTTCTAAACTAAAAGGCAACTAACAGGATCGGGTGGTCAGGCTCGCTGACTTGTTTGATGCATGTCATCGATCCCAATTGCGCGGATCGATGCTCATGATATTAATGACTAGATTGTCTGGTCCAGACTCGATTATTTACAAACCGCCTTCATATAGCTGGAATATTGCTGAGTGCGGCGTAAAACAACAAACCAACAACAACAACCAACAATTCTAAGCAGTGTTTAACCAAACTCACTCATTTCCTCACATCCATGAGTGTACGAAAAAAACTCTCTAAATGTTCATGATTTTTTCAGCTTCAACATTATTCAAACTTTTTTGGGACTCAAAATTGCAAAACTAGTCTCAGATGGTGATGTCAAACCAATGTCATACATTTCTGGAGTACTAGTAACTGTTGCGTAATTGCTTTCACAGACCTCCCCCTAATCCTCTGATATGTTTGTGAGACCCCCGCCCCCTGATGACAGACTGGTCACTTACGTCATAGTTTTGACTTCATATCTCTTATGATTGGTTCTGTGTGGATTTACAGGATTACTCGTCTCTGTTGTTAAGCTTCATCTGCTTTCGTTTCCTGTGAAGTAATCAATTATTCAGTGTCTTTAAGATCAGATCTTTTCCTCCAATACGATACCTCACTCCATGAAAATCTGACAACAGCTGGAACACCGTATAAGGTGAACCTTGATTATACCACCCAATCTAAATGAAGGCAGCTTGGTCCTGAGCCAATCAGATGTGAACTTTCTATTGATTTGGCTCAATTCTTGACCCCCTTGATTCTGAAATTTTGATATTATAAAAATAAAACCCACAGAGAACACAAATATTCCTAGATGGTACTCAGAAACGACAGGGGGAATAAAATATTCAGAATAATATATGCTGCATTTCATTATTTCAATTCAGAACTGTCTGTTTCAGTTCAATTTACAATACAGAAATCATATGCTGGACTAAATGCTCTGCTCACTTATACCAACACGCCTGAATGCTGATTGGTTGATTAGAAAGTTCACTTGACGCTACATGTACTTCCTGTGAAGGGGTTGTCAGACCTTCACTTATTAAGGTCATATCGGAGTAAGAGATCTGGTTTTAATGCAATCGTCAATCATTCTACATTGTACACCATTGTAGTTAACACAGTGTAGATAATCATATTCTTGCCAAAGTGTTTTCTTCCATTTGTGTCTATGATTTTGTTATGTTCACTTTAGATTATGTAATTCTAAAAAAGATCACATAGCTCACCTGGGTTATTCAAATGAAACTGCTGATCACAATGAATATATTTGTTTTTTAAAAAAATGTTAAAATAAAATATTATTAAGTGCTTCTCTTGATAACTTTGAAATAGTATGTTACGAATATTTGATATAATTTGTAATGATTCCTTCATGTATGTTATTGTTTGATATTGACTCATCCTCAATAATCCATGGTATCCCATCTCCTTTCTATTATTATGCTAACCCTTGACAATTGGCTACCATAGCTTTGTTTCGGAAGTAACTCCATCTCTTGGTAACTTCGTACAGAATTTCTCTCTCTCGTGTTATTTTATTGATGGCTATTTCTGTCTTCCCGAGGCAAGGGTGTTAACTGACTATAAAAGTCCAGTTTCGACCCATGCCGAACTGGGCTGGAATTTCCAGGCTCGATCATAGCCCCCACCAGTGGCTAATACGAGTTATGTCCCTTCTATGTCCCTCCCATTGACCAATCAGATTTCACCTCTCATATCACTTGCATTTGCTTCAAACAAAATGGCGGCACCAAGTCAAGACAATCTGATCGATAATCAAGATCTATATTGTAATGAGAGTTCGTCCCGCGATTCTGATTGGACCATGCATAGACTTGTTGGTTCAGCCAACCCTGGAATTTCAGCCTAGTTCGGCAAGGGTGGAAACTGGACCTTTATGGTCAGTTAACGCCCTTGCCTCAGAAAGATGGGCCATTTCTAGCATCAGCATATTTTGTATCGGACTCAAAATTAAACTGATGAATATGTCCAGGGTATTTGTCAGTACAGAATGTTGGTACAGTGTGTGAACCCATTTCTGGTGTCCCCTGCCGTGATTTTGCTGGAATATTGCTAAAAGCGGCATAAAACCACACTCACTAACTCACTCATAACAGAATGGAGACTTATAACCCTGGATTATCGAGGATGATAATGACCCTGTGTGGAGTGTTTCAGGTCATGTTTGGCTCTGATCATGTACATAGATACAAACAGAGGTGTTCCAGGTAGCTGGCCTAACGATGGGGTTGTGTTAAGAACAGTACAATTCCTAGGTTTGGCAATACGACTATACATATATAATATGCATATACAAGCCTGATGACTTTTGAGCAGAAATATGTAAAATAGGCATAATTTGAAAAAAAAAGAAGCTTAGTTTGAGAGAAGTCCAAAACCAGGAATCAAAGAATTTACAAATAATCCAGACAAAATTCCTTACAATTACATGTTTCTTATGCTTCCTTCAAAGTCTCTTACCCGCTGTGATATTGCTGGAATATTGCTAAAAGCGGCGTAAAACCTCACTCACCCACTCACTCAAAGTCTCTCTAGCAACCCATGCTTGCCCTAACAGGCAACTATGCTTGTTGTAAGAGGCGACTAACGTGGTCAGGCTCGCTGACTTGGTTGAAGCATGTCATCGATCCCAATTGCATGGATCGATGGTCATGATGTCAATCACTGGATTGTCTGGTCCAGACTCGATTATTTACAGACCGTCGTAAGGCAGTAATGGATTAGCTGTGGTCTGACCAACAGTTAGTTACAGAGACAGATACAGATGCAGAAATGTCAAGTTTCATTTAATGCAATCATGAACATAATTTTTTTTATGCCAAGATAATGAGCAACAGCTCCAACCCTTGAAGATCCAGGGTAGAATAGGTCTTCAGCAACTATACTTTCATAAGAGGTGACTAACAGGCTTGTCAGGCTTGAAGACTTGGTTGATGCATGTCATCATATCCCAGTTATGTGGATAGATGCTCATGATGTCGATCACTGGATTGTCTGGTCCAGACTCGATTATTTACAGACCGCTGTCATATAGCTGAAAAAGTGCTGAGTGCAGCGTTAAACAACAAACAAACAAATAAACAAACCCTTTAAAGTCAGGTCAGCTATTTTAGAACATCCATTAATCTGGTTAGCATGGGCTGCATCAAGTATTTCACCCAGTGACAGACTGGTTCTCCCTATTAGTAGATGCAAGCTTTGTTTCTATGCAATGTAGACTTCGAACTTTTGTTCTGCCTGACAAATTAGTGTGTTGACACATTAGGAATGAATGTATTCAGGCTTTAGTGTATTATATCATTGTGTTGCGAAGGCTTGATTGGATTGTCTATTTGCTGTGGGCGACATGTTATTAATGTCAATTCCAATACTGTCTCTCCATGACCAGGGAAATCACCTACTGTTAGACTTAGTCCTACTCTACATCATACGTTCGCTCATGTATATTGTTTGAATGAGTCGTCAGTGAGGTTAGATGCATCAGACGTCTGCTGCAGTTTGCTGGGGTAGCCCTGACTGTGACGTCGTACCGTATTCTCTCACTGCTTGTCTTTCTATAGGCTGGTCAATAGGGTTTTTTATTCATTAAAAGTCTCAACTTTTTTGACAGACCTCATGATGAGAAAGTAGTTTATTCATGATAAGGATCATTTCTGAAGATTAGTCGATTTGTGGAATGATATATACTACTCAAAATAAGTTAAAGAACACAACATATTTTCATATGACTATAGTTCATCCCCGATTTCTTTTTCACACAACTGGTTAATCCCCTGATTTTTTCATATTGCTTTAGTTAATCTGTCATGGCCATTAGTCTTATGAAAAGATCTGGTGTTCTTTAACTGCCATTTCGTATATACTGAACAAAGAAAGTTAAGGGTCATGAATTTTTTTAGGTGAAAATTGAAAAAAAAAAAAAAAAATCTTCAAGAACATTCCTGATCCCTTACTTATTTTGTTCGGTATATAAGTTGTGCTGATTGCGGGTATTACAGGATGAAATACTGGCACGTCATTTTGCATTATTCATCTTCTTTTAGAACAGTTTGCGTCTACAGATATGTGTGGAGGGTGTATCGACACTAAGTTTTAGTCACCTTGTATGCAGTGTGTCACATGTTTGATATTTAACATTTCGTAACAAGCTGAAAAAATTCTCAATGTGATGGTGTGATATTGCACCCAATGTGTAGTACGAATATTTTGTAAACGTGACAGTCACATACAGTGTGACAGGAAGGAGGGTCGGGTGTGGTGTTTAATATGTCCGTGGCCATGTTTGTAGGCCGGGTTTTTCAAAAGTGCTTCTGTGGTCTTATGTGATAAAGCATAACTTGTAAAAAATGGTGTAAATATTTTATCTGATATTTTGTGTGTACTCCCCACAGTGTATGCATCGTGTCTCTCTGGTCGATGGGCTTGGATGTGTGAGGACCATGGAGACTTGATATCAAGATTGCCGTTGTCATGGACTTGTATCTAGTTTACCAATCGAAAAAATACATTCTTTCGGTAGCAAGTAACAATTTTTTTTTGTGTTTGGCTATCAATGATTAATATTTGATTAATATTTCACATTATACCTTGGTAACAACATCTTTGAATTTAAGAAATATTTTCTGAATGCTTGTGAGAAGGGGTGACTAAGGAGGCCTCAGTGGGCTGGGGATGCTTACAGGTTGTGTCAGTGAACTGGGAAACGCTGTTCTAATCCCGGCTGATCCCGTCGATGGTTTGTGTGTACAGGCCCAAACCTAGCTGATCCTGTCAATGGTGTGTCCATGCTGGACCTGATCCTGTCAATGGTGTGTCCATGCTAGGCCTGATCCTGTCAATGGTGTGTCCGTGCTGGACCTGATCCTGTCAATGGTGTGTCCATGCTGGGCCTGATCCTGTCAGTGATGTGTCCATACTGGGCCTGATCCTGTCAATGGTGTGTCCATGCTAGGCCTGATCCTGTCAATGGTGTGTCCGTGCTGGACCTGATCCTGTCAATGGTGTGTCCATGCTGGGCCTGATCATGTCAGTGGTGTGTCCGTGCTGAACCTGATTCTGTCAATGGTGTGTCCGTGCCGGGCCTGATCCTGTCAATGGTGTGTCCATGCTGGGCCTGATTCTGTCAATGGTGTGTCCGTGCTGGACCTGATCCTGTCAATGGTGTGTCCATGCTGGGCCTGATCCTGTCAATGGTGTGTCCATGCTGGGCCTGATCCTGTCAGTGGTGTGTCCATGCTAGGCCTGATCCTGTCAATGGTGTGTCCATGCTGGACCTGATCCTGTCAATGGTGTGTCCATGCTGGGCCTGATTCTGTCAGTGGTGTGTCCAAGCTGGACCTGATCCTGTCAATGGTGTGTCCATGCTGGGCCTGATCATGTCAGTGGTGTGTCCATGCTGGACCTGATCCTGTCAATGGTGTGTCCATGCTGGACCTGATCCTGTCAATGGTGTGTCCATGCTAGGCCTGATCCTGTCAATGGTGTGTCCATGCTGGGCCTGATCCTGTCAATGGTGTGTCCGTGCTGGACCAGATCCTGTCAATGGTGTGTCCATGCTGGGCCTGATCATGTCAGTGGTGTGTCCATGCTGGACCTGATTCTGTCAATGGTGTGTCCATGCTGGACCTGATCCTGTCAATGGTGTGTCAATGCTGGGCCTGATCCTGTCAATGGTGTGTCCATGCTGGACCTGATCCTGTCCATGGTGTGTCCGTGCTGGGCCTGATCCTGTCAGTGGCGTGTCCGTGCTGGACCTGATCCTGTCACACAGCTCCACATTCAGGCGATGGATGGGCCCCTACAAAGTTTATTTGTGGAGTAGGGCTTATTTGACATCATGAGTCAAACACAGTCTCCTTTCAAGTTCAGGGTGGTCTGGTAGCCTAATGTTTAAAGCATTTGCTCATCACGCCAAAGATCCAGGTTTGATTCCCGACATGGGTACATTGTGTGAAGCCCATATCTGGTGTCCCCCGCCATGATATTGGTAGAATATTGCTAATAGCGGCGTAAGACCATACTCACTCATTTCAAGTTCATTAGCTAACTAAAACTAAACACATGTCACCACTGCCATGTATTCATGGTGATGGAGAAACAGACTGTACACACCCCGTGAAGTACTGACGATGAACTGGGAAGTGTCCTAGCCTGAGATGAATGCTATGTAGACCAGCCATGTCCAGCAGTAGTAGTGAGCTGCGTCCAGGGTATAAGTATGGTGAAATGTATCTATTTGTTGTAACTGTGTAAGAAACCATGTAGAGTAGTCGGCACAAAGACGTGTTCACAGGCGCTGAGGAAGATGGAGCAAACAGCTGCACCTTATAAAGCGGAACCTGTGGAGTCCAGACAGCTGTCTGTATCAGGGATGGTTAACTTTCGCATTATTAATTATAACAGTAATTTATGGAACGACTTAAATTTTCGGGTGCCTTTTATACATCCTTGTCCAAGAGAACAAGACAGCAACAATTAGATTTGAACCCTGGTTGACGCTTGAAGCAAACACTTTATCCACAGCCGTCAATCCAGTGCTGGAGTTCATGGTCAAAGATTGTTGCAAAATTAAGTTTTAGTGAGGTTTCCTGAGACCTAGCCCCCTGAGTTCCACTGTATAGGATGTTGGTTCTTGGCTCAGTCTCCTCTGTCTGGCATCTGTGGACAGGACTCTTCATCAGGGATATTTAACATGCTTCCTCATGAAGTATCATCCTCATGATTCAGGGCATTTTTTTCATTAATACCCTTGGTTCATTGGAAATACATGTTTGTGTATTGTCCTCCTATTTCTACTGAAGTGGGAGTTGTGGAAAGAATGGGTCTTGTCAACTTCTAACAGTATTGATACATTTGTTGAAATTGGCGCTTTATTTTGCGCTCTTTTTGACAATGAACCAGGGGTAGCAATGACAAGACTTAGAGATAGTTTTAATTCCAGCCTTTTTTCCATGGTATAGGCTTGGAGGAAGATGATTCCATAGTGAGGAACATTTTATTCCTTATTTGTATTTAATTGTAAAAGTATGACGACAACCTGAGTCGTCTTCTACATGTTAAAGGCCTTATGTCTGTGATGACTGCCAAGTGTCTAGATATATCGTGTCTGCAGTGTTGTGTGGAGAATGTCACTCCCCACTGTGTTAGGATATCAAAGTGTATTATTTTCCTACAAAGTAGTTTTTCTTCCATGGCACTTTGTTAATAGGCACTGTATTGTTTGTATAGACTATATCATAGAATTTAATGATTTTGCTTTAACTATACAAGCTTGTTGTGTACAGTGCTTAGATTGTATAGCCGTGAACTACAATATCGAACATGCTCACCCTATTGTACTGCTGCAGTTAGATCCGTTTCTGGACCATCCTCGTCATGTGCACTGATAATGATGATGGATATGTCCGAACCCTATCTGGTCGATTTAGTCTCTGCAGCTCTTTAGACTCTCCTCCAAAGCTAAGCTTATTTATAAAGATAAACTGAAATACTGTTCAAAATGCCGTAAACTCACTCACAGACTCTCTGACCTGTAGCTATGTTGTGGATTGTTGCTCACAATATCAGTCACTGGTTTGTCTGGTCCAGACTCGATTATATACAGACTGCTATCATACAGGTGGAATGTAGCTCTGTGCAGTGTTAAACAGCAAACAAGCACCATAAGCAGAGAGTCTATTCAAATTAATCTATTTTTAGACAGTAACTATGAAGGCAATGCCATTTGTTATGAAGTAGTGCCTCGTGCGAGGTAATGTATTTAATATTTTGGCAAGTGTTGTTCCGGATTAAGTAGAACTCTGTAATAATTGTAAGAATGTGTAAAAGTCGACTCTGACATTGTGAAAACAACCATGACAACTGGCTAGTAACTATGGGTCATGGTATCCAGTCAGGATTCCAAGCTGTGATGGAGATGGTCATAGAGGAAACTGTATACTGTGTGCTTACCTATGTTAAATACAGGTGTAGCTTGTGGTTAAACCTGTTGCCATGACAATTGTGTAAGATTTTCGTCACTTTGACATGACAATTTATGATCCAGTAGGTCCTCTTGTTCAATGATGACAATTTGTCAGTTGAACAAAAATCTGATGTTTTAGTATTTTGCGCAGTTAAGGAGGTAAAATCCGTCATTGACTGAAGTAATATCTGTAGTGTCTTATGATATGGATTAAATAATTCTGTTTTATGCACACTTTAAAATATGAAAACACCAGAGAATAACCAGTCTTGATTATTTGCCAAAGCAGATTTCCAATGTGGCGTAAAATGTTGAAAAAGTATCAATGGATCACTTATAATCAGTTCCATTATTATCATCACATATCCAGTCTCTGTGTGATGCTATTATAACACTTTCAACTGTTTGTACTGAAACAATCAGCTGCCTGGTTGGCTAGGCATGTTTGGAAATCTTGAAGTTAGGGTTTATGAATTCAAACATCGGCCACATGTCCAGTAAACCGTTTATCTTGGTGGCAGAACCAACTTAGTAGCAAGTGTTTTCAAGCTGATGTAGTACAACTGGTTCCAGCATGGTGTATGTGACAGTGTTGACACGGTCCTCTAGGCCCGACCAGTCTCCTAGCAACATACTGTAAATATCAGACATGGAACAATAAAAAATGCCAGAAACACCTGCTGTTGTTGTGGAGCTGTTACTGTATGTTTGTTTGTTGTTTAACGCCACACTCAGCAATATTCCAGCTGTGTGACGGTGGCCTGTAAATAATCAAGTCTGGACCAGACAATCCAGTGATTGACATAATATTCATCGATCCACATACCGGTAATTGGGATATGATGACATGCATCAACCAAGTCTGCAAGCCTGACGACCCGATCCTGTTAGTCACCTCTTACGAAAACATGGGTTGCAAAAGACTAATTCTAACCTGGAATCTTCACGGGATGCTGGTTAATGAGTTGAGCGCTTGCTGCATTTTGAGCAGGAGCAATGCTTCACACTTGGGTTTTGCTAATTGGTGATGGGTCGAACTGCGAGTGTTTACGTGGATGGGTTGTTTTTGGATCCCAGGCAACCGAGTATTTTCTAAATAAAGCATTACTTTGAGTTTTCTAAAATTTGAGTCAAAACTCAAGACTTGTTTGAAATTAGTTTGTTACATAGAAATCTGGGCCTGGTAGACGAACTTACTCTTCCTTTAAGACTGGGGGATAGAAAACAACACAACTCATGAGAAACAACTATTTATAGTTTTGCAGAACATTAATACAATACAGATGTCATGCAGAAGGACAATGCTGGACAATAGCAAGAATGACAAAACAGATGCTCAGAGAATCTTAATCTCCAAACTTTTATACAAAAGTCAGACTAAAAAGGGATGGCTGTACATTGATACCCTACCACTGTACTTATCCATGCTTCACCAGATTGGTCTCTGTGCATGAAAGAGAGTTTAACGCCACTTTGAGTATTTCACTTAAATGCTCCTTAGCTTGATCTGGGAGGAAGTCATGCAGTCGAAGACATTTAACACTTTGGGAAACCTATGGGGTCGCAAACCTAGAAACATAATCAGGGCAAATCTAGGATTCAAACCAACAATCACAGGTTCCTGGAAGACCCAAGGGAGGCAACTCAGCACGTGAATCATTGCACCTTAGAAGACTGGACCACCCATGCCCCCTTTGTGCATTTTATGAACTTTATGCAATTCCTGTACAAGTCGTGATTCAGCAGGTTCTGTTTTTGATTCTTATAACAGTGTGTGAGTGAGTGAGGTTGGTTTTGCACTGCTTTTCTCACTATTCCCGACATTCACACCAGGGCACACCGTGAACGGCCCTCACATTCTACCCAAATGAAGTTTTAAAAGCAACACTGAAGCAGTGAGTGAGTTGGGTTGGGTTTAACACGGCTTTTAACAGTATTCCAGTTATATCACGGCGAGTCAGCTTAATGTGGGAGGAAAGCCCGAAGTGATGCAGGTCTCAGACGTTTACCACTTCGGTGAAACCCACGAGCACGGGTATGATGCTGACAAACCTAGAAACATAATCGGGGCGAACCGGGATTCGAACCCACAATCATAGGTTTCTGGCGTGCCAAAGGGACGCAACTCTGCACAGCGAATCGCGGCGCCTTAGACAACTGGGCCACCTGTGCCCAACACTCAAGCATCTGTGGGCAATGATCACATGGGCTGTATTTATCATACAACTCCTCACTAGTACCCATTTGAAATTTGCCAGTTGTAGATATTGCAAAGTGACAGGCACCTTGGTAACACAGGACACCGCACAACTCTGCTGCGTTATGGGACTCAACTCCTGCTCAAGCATATCACAAATATAAACAATACTGCTCCTGTCGCTCAGTAGTGCGTGTAGATTTCTGTAGTAAATCTCTTCTTTCATTAAATATTCTTGGATTGTCTGGCAGCCATTTTGTTTCACAGTCAAAAATAGATGCGTTACGTATAGCAAAGTGCGTCTTAAAAGTTAAGTCCAAAAATGATAAAATTTTATTCTAGTCTATTGATAAATATGACTGAAGATTTATTAATGACTAGTTGTTTGACAAATATGTCCTAAACAGTTTGACAACCAACAAATTGTAATCCACTGCATGCCTGCAATTTGCCAGTCTGACAGACGGACATTGAACAGAAACTTGACCAAACACTGCTGAAACAATGTACAAGTACCCGGTAATACACTCATTCATACAACACGGAAAATACTGAATCAACTTGTTCCATACGACATTCTCAATCAGCATTGTCTGCATCACCGTCACATTTAATCAACTTGTTCCATACGACATTCTCAATCAGCATTGTCTGCATCACCGTCACATTTAATCAACTTGTTCCATACGACCTTCTCAATCAGCATTGTCTGCATCACCGTCACATTTAATCAACTTGTTCCATACGACATACTCAATCAGCATTGTCTGCATCACCGTCACATTTAATCAACTTGTTCCATACGACATTCTCAATCAGCATTGTCTGCATCACCGTCACATTTAATCAACTTGTTCCATACGACATTCTCAATCAGCATTGTCTGCATCACCATCCCATTTAATCAACTTGTTCCATACGACCTTCTCAATCAGCATTGTCTGCATCACCGTCACATTTAATCAACTTGTTCCATACGACATTCTCAATCAGCATTGTCTGCATCACCGTCACATTTAATCAACTTGTTCCATACGACATTCTCAATCAGCATTGTCTGCATCACCATCCCATTTAATCAACTTGTTCCATACGACCTTCTCAATCAGCATTGTCTGCATCACCGTCACATTTAATCACACTTGTGTTGAACTTGATTGTTTCCGTGAAAAGCAAAGCTTGGATGAGACCAAGGTGTTATATACAAATCCTCCCAGCCCCTACAAATTCGAAAGAACAAATCATCTGACTGTTACTTTAAGTCCAACTAGATGAGAGAATTTCTATCTAATCTGTCTGTCCGTATACAAGAGTAGTTATTGAGCTATCAAAACAATACCTTGGAATTAGGATTCGGAACTTTGTATTTCTATGAACAGTGAGTCAAGTTTCTTGCCATGGAAACGGAAAAACTATAATTTTAAAGATTCCTAAATAGCAAAAGGTACCCTTTGACAACCTGGTCTTTGTACAGTTTCAAGAAAGAGTACCTATTAGATTTAAATATATGGTCCGGACCAACACACCACTATGGTCTGGATATGAAATACAGACGAAACGCCAGACCAGATGATGACTATATCTCCCACATCTTATGTCTGGGGGATAAAAACTATGTCACATCTAAGTTAGAATGACATGTTATCTTGTGTAGACATTCCATGTCTGATAGATTGGTTTGTTTGTTGTTGAACGCCGCATTCAGCAATATTCCAGCTATATGACAGTGGCCTGTCTCTAACTGAGTCTGAACCAGACAATCCAGTGACTGATATTATCAGAAATGACACCATCTACAGTGACATCCTCCTCTCATGACCAGCATATGTTGCTGGGGCCCAGTTATAACCCAGAGTCCCTCCAGCATGAGGAACTAATAGAGAGCATACATCATGGCAAGAGGACATAGAACAGCCACACCATCCACTAACAAGATACTGTAAATCTTGAATTTAATGCGTCTCCAAATTAATACGACTGCTGACCCCTAGCCAAAAATGCGACTCCCCTCCCCCCACCCCATCCCCAGTGGATGTATATATCCTTACCTTAATCCAATCAAACACCAAATAGCGCCACTTATTAGTGCTGAGTAGATCACTTCCGTAATAACAATAAACAGTGATTTCCTAACAACAACACACAGTTTATATGTTTATTGTTGTATACTGGCATTAAGGAAGTTCAAAGGCAATAAAATAATTGAACCAACAACGGTTCATTTATGACACCAAGTTTGACACGAGTGGGTTGAACTCTTGACCCCAGCAGTGATAACTCACCGGATGCCCATTGTCTAATTACTTTTCTTTAAATGACATTGTTTGTACTTGTTACAACTGCTGCTCAATAAACCATGTTTGTGTTTATATTCAAGTTTGTATTTCCGCTATCCAAAGTGTACAGTGAGGCCGTCTTATTGTTGATAGTCATTTTGGAGACATAAATGCGATGTTTCATTAATGCAAACAAAGACCACTAGCATTTTTCGCATTTAATTCACGCTCTCATTAATTTCAAGATTACAGCATATGGAAGCATGTAACGTTCAACTTACAATACATAAATTTACAAATGATTCTGTCGCATTTGAGTGGCCTACCGAGCAATTGTTGTTGAGCTTATGTTTCTACAAATAGGAAAAACATTAGACCGCAACGAACAGACTACTGCTTCCTGATTGGCTGATAATGGAATGCCCTGTGTTGCATTATTGCACTGAATGATGTCCCCGATTTGTCTTCATTGAGGTCTACAGTTTCTTGTATGTTAGGGGCGGTCGGGTAGCATAGTGGTTAAAGCGTTAGCTCGTCACGCCGAAGACCCGGGTTCGATTCCCGACATGGGTACAATGTGTGAAGCCCATTTCTGGTGTCCCCCCGCCGTGATATTGCTGGAATGTTGCTAAAAGCGGCGTAAAACCGAACTCACCCACCCATCTTGTATGTTAATGATTAATTAAGCAGCCTGTGAAGTCATTACTGTTGACATATTTATTTATATAAATTGATTTCGATATGTTTTGGCATTTATGGAGTTATAAATATAAAACATGGTGAGCACATTTTGCATAAATCCCTGAGCTAACCTCCATATATACAGAAACATTGAAGTCAGTTCTTTGTTTGTTGCGCAGTAGTCTCACTGTAATTATTACTGGTACTTTGACTTTTTAGAGCCACATGTTTTATTCAATTTTGGCATTGTATACATGGAATAACTGCATAATTTAAAATTCATTCTGACTGAAAAAGTACATTGTGCTTCTTACAGGATTATGTCACAAAAAATCAGGACTGCAACCCAAATTCCACTCGTACAATAACACATCCACATAACACACATTCAACCAACAGATGCATCATGGAGAATTTCAACCAACCGACATATCAGTGTTCAAAATACCTGCCTGCCCGACCGTCCGAGACGGGTTGATTTCAACTCGGGCTGCCAGATTTTCAAATCCCCCTGCCCGATGGTCGGGTTATATTTCATATGTGAAAATATTCAAAATATTTCCCGATGATAATCATTAATTCACATATAAAGATGAATGATAAAATGTAACCAAAGAGAAACCCCGTTAGCTTATCCTGAGAAACATATGATTATAGTGGGCAGGCAGGTTTTGGTCAGGGCTGGCAAGTATTTCAGCTAGCCAGTCCTGTGGTCTGGCTGAAATTTTTGGGAGTTTCATACCCTGGACATATCATGGAGAATTTCAACCAACAGACGCATCATGGAGAATTTCAACCAACAGACGCATCATGGAGAATTTCAACCAACAGACACATCATGGAGAATTTCAACCAACAGACGCATCACAGAGAATTTCAACCAACAGACGCATCATGGAGAATTTCAACCAACAGACGCATCATGGAGAATTTCAACCAACAGACGCATCATGGAGAATTTCAACCAACAGACGCATCACAGAGAATTTCAACCAACAGACGCATCATGGAGAATTTCAACCAACAGACGCATCACGGAGAATTTCTACCAACAGACACATTACTGAGAATTTCAAACAACTTACATATGATCAGTCATCAACTTGTGAAACAGGTCTTCGTGTTGAGTAAACTCGCTTCTAGTCATGAACATAAATATGTCGGTTTGTTTGGTAGAGTTACCTGCCCTTGTCATGCATTTACTCCTATAAAGATTGAGCGCCGGGAGGAAAATGACAGGGGCAGAACCAAGGAACAACAGATATGTAGACATAAAAATATTTCTTTGACTTCAAAACATCATAATACTTCTCAAGTTTGTCTGTCATACATTCTCCAACCACCTGTGACAAGAAACCGCTGATATGTGGCGTGTTTTATTATTAAGTCAAGCAATCAACTGAGACCATGCATAATTCACGGAAGACAAACGAGGTCAGTTCTATGCATGGAGTTTCCCTGACACCAATGTAATGTTTGGAATAAATGGTTCATTGAACCCTGACACTAATGTAATGTTTGGAATAAATGGTTCATTGAACCCTGACACTAATGTAATGTTTGGAATAAATGGTTCATTGAACCCTGACACTAATGTAATGTTTGGAATAAATGGTTCATTGAACCCTGACAGTAATGTAATGTTTGGAATAAATGGTTCATTGAACCCTGACACTAATGTTATGTTTGGAATAAATGGTTCATTGAACCCTGACACTAATGTAATGTTTGGAATAAATGGTTCATTGAACCCTGACACTAATGTAATGTTTGGAATAAATGGTTCATTGAACCCTGACACTAATGTAATGTTTGGAATAAATGGTTCCTAGGCCGTGACACTTGCTGCAAATTGTGAGAAATGTATGATGCAACCAGAGCGCTCATTTATCCTCTCGCTAGAACCAAGTCACGAGATGATTGGTTGGTTAAAAATAGCCACTACAGTAGACAGCGGCCGATTGTTTCATGGGAGATGGAGGAACGTATTTTACAGAAACCTGTGAAGTACTGACGATGATTTCAATATGAGAACGATCAAAGAAATGAAACGGTGGTGGACAGATCCACAACGAATCATCCCCTCCATCACTGTCTCCATCTGGACCCTGTGACCCAGGTTTATCAAACATTTGGGCTTGGCTACCCGTGTTGATCAAACATCTGGGCCATGCTATCCGTGTTGATCAAACATTCCCTTGAGAGACTGCTTGTCTTTCTCTGCCTTCTGTTTGATCATGTCGTCTAATCTTGTCAACTCCTTCTTCACTGCATTTGACAGAGATGGATCTAACAGCAGGACACGGTTAAAGTCATTACGAGCATCGTCTGGATTCCACGCACCGACGTGGGCCTTGGCTCGCCGAAACAACGCCTTCACATTCTCTGGAACAAAACACATGCACTGTGACATAGATATACATGATATAGCTTCATTAATGTGAATTTACATTTGTACATTTTCAAACTCTGTACAATAAATCCTCTGTACGTGATGACTCTTACCCTTGTGTTATTTGATGTCAAAACTATCCCATGAAGCTCACAGTCAATGAGTGGTGAGATGTTCACATAAAGATCAATAAAAATATATTATTCTGAATTAATATAAACAGAAAACCATCCCCTGCCGTGGGGTATATTAGAATTGTGTTTAGTTCCCCTCATACAACAGTGAGGAAATTCACATTTTTGTTAATAGTTAATATTCCACTGCGCAACAATAACATTTATACCACTTCATATGAAGTATATATTCCAACCATGTGTTGTATAGTATATTTAACATCAGCAGACAAGCAGGCATGGGTTTAATCATTGTCCAATATATTTCTGAGTGCCTCGTGAGTTTGTTGAGTGGATGTGTGTTCTACCTACCTGGCCCCTATTTTGAGTACAGTGGTGGAGTGTTCTACTCACCTGGCTCCCTCTTGAGTACAGTGGTGGTGTGTTCTATGACAGGGTAGTAGTCGTGCTCCAGCAGTTTGCACTGGGAGAAGTTCAGCAGGAATGGCAGCTTCATCTTGTCAAGTTCCTCCCACTCCTCATCTCCCGGCTTCTCCCTGGCAACACAACCAGACAGTTGTGGATAAACCTCGTTGAGCACACACCCAGACAGTTGTTGATAAACCTCGTTGAGCACACACCCAGACAGTTGTGACATACCCAGTTGAGCACACACCCAGACAGTTGTGCATAAACCAGCTGAGCACACGCCCAAACAGTTGTGACACACCCAGTTAAGCACATACCCAGACAGTTGGGGATAACCTTGTTGAGCACACACCCAAACAGTTGGGGATAACCTCGTTCAGCACACACCCAGACAGTTGGGGATAACCTCGTTGAGCACACACCCAAACAGTTGTGGATAACCTCGTTCAGCACACACCCAGACAGTTGTGGATAACCTCGTTGAGCACACACCCAAACAGTTGTGACACACCCAGTTAAGCACATACCCAGACAGTTGTCCATAAACCAGCTGAGCACACCCAGACAGTTGTGTACACACCCAGTTGAGCACACACCCTGACAGTTGTGTACACATCCAGTTGAGCACACACCCAGACAGTTGTGTACAACCAGTTGAGTACACACCCAGACAGTTGTATACACATCCAGTTGAGCACACACCCAGACAGTTGTGTACACACACAGTTGAGCACACACCCAGGCAGTTGTGTACACACCCAGTTGAGCACACACCCAGACAGTTGTGTACATCCAGTTGAGCACACACCCATACAGTTGTGTACACACCCAGTTGAGCACACACACAGTTGAGCACACACCCAGACAGTTGTGTACATCCAGTTGAGCACACACCCATACAGTTGTGTACATCCAGTTGAGCACACACCCATACAGTTGTGTACAACCAGTTGAGTACACACCCAGACAGTTGTATACACATCCAGTTGAGCACACACCCAGACAGTTGTGTACACACACAGTTGAGCACACACCCAGGCAGTTGTGTACACACCCAGTTGAGCACACACCCAGACAGTTGTGTACATCCAGTTGAGCACACACCCAGACAGTTGTGTACACACCCAGTTGAGCACACGAACAGTTGAGCACACACCCAGACAGTTGTGTACATCCAGTTGAGCACACACCCATACAGTTGTGTACACACCCAGTTGAGCACACACACAGTTGAGCACACACCCAGACAGTTGTGTACATCCAGTTGAGCACACACCCATACAGTTGTGTACATCCAGTTGAGCACACACCCATACAGTTGTGTACACACCCAGTTGAGCACACACACAGTTGAGCACACACCCAGACAGTTGTGTACATCCAGTTGAGCACACACCCATACAGTTGTGTACACACCCAGTTGAGCACACACACAGTTGAGCACACACCCAGATAGTTGTGTACATCCAGTTGAGCACACACCCAGACAGTTGTGTACACACCCAGTTGAGCACACACCCAGACAGTTGTGCATAAACCCAGTTGAGCACACGTACAGAAAGTTGTGCAAAAAAAACACACCCTGACAGAAGAAATCCAAACAGTTTTGTATACATCCAAACAGTTATACATATGAATTAAGTTCAAAAGTACAGTGTCAATAGTATAGCTGAAGTCATAGCCTTAGCATAACCTACACTTACTTCAGAATGAATTGTTCCAGGATTCCTATTGCCTTAGCGTAACCTACACTTACCTTCAGAATGAGCTGTCCAAGTATTCCTATAACCTTAGCGTAACCTACACTTACTTCAGAATGACCTGTTCCAGTATTCCTATCACCTAAGCGTAACCTACACTTACTTCAGAATGAGCTGTCCAAGTATTCCTATAACCTTAGCGTAACCTACACTTACTTCAGAATGAACTGTTCCAGTATTCCTATTGCCTTAGCGTAACCTACACTTACTTCAAAATGAGCTGTCCCAGTATTCTTATCACCTTAGCGTAACCAACACCTACTTCAGAATGACCTGTTCCAGTATTCCTATCACCTTAGCGTAACCTACACTTACATCAGAATGACCTGTTCCAGTATTCCTATCGCCTTAGCGTAACCTACACTTACTTCAGAATGAGCTGTCCCAGTATTCTTATCACCTTAGCGTAACCTACGCTTACTTCAGAATGACCTGTTCCAGTATTCCTATCACCTTAGCGTAACCTACACTTACTTCAGAATGAGCTGTTCAAGTATTCCTATCACGTTAGCGTAGCCTACACTTACTTCAGAACGAGCTGTTCCAGTATTCCTATCACCTTAGCGTAACCTACACTTACTTCAGAATGAGCTGCTCAAGTATTCCTATCACCTTAGCGTAACCTACACTTACTTCAGAATGAGCTGTTCAAGTATTCCTATGGCCTTAGCGTAGATGTCAGCCGCCTCCTTGTACAGCTTCCGGCCATACAGCTGATTGCCTTCCTCTTTCAGCTTGGGGACTGTGGCCAGCTTCTCGTCCTCACTCATCGTCCACACTTCCTTTTTAAAGGTCTCTGCCTCCTCGAACTTCACCAGTTCTACAAGCACAACAATAAAACTGTGAGACAAATGTGTGTGTTTATGGCAAATAAGCTTGAAGGCAGGAAGTGACATGAGACATAGTCTGTTCATTCCAAGCAGTTTCCAAAGTATTGTCAGAATGGGCAACCACTCTGTGTGTCGAACTTGATGAACCCAGGAAGACAAACATGTGTCACTCCTCTGTAATCAGACACAACAATCAAACAAACATAAACTAAGGAGACTCATGCATATGCCAGAAGAGTTCTGGGTATTGTTCCACTGTGTTCGTTTTTTTGTTTTTTTGTTGTTTAATATCACACTCAGTAACATTCCAGCTATATGACAGCGGTCTGTAAATGAAATATTTGTGTTTCATCTTTCTTATGGGCGAACAGGGTCAATTTTGACGTGACAAGCAAGTGACGTCACATTAAACTGCATGATGTCATATCTGTACAGGCTAACTGCCACACAGATGGCTGGGTTACAACAAACAAACAAACAAACATTATAGTTCTGTCAAGTTAACCACAAAGGAAGACAGATTATCAAGCATGAAACGATTCTCACAATGCAGTGGCTATATTAATCCAAGGTGGATTTGACGACAGATAGCACAACGCACTCTTTGACCTTACCCAGTGTAAAGGCAAGGGGCTGTGGAGTCTTCATCAGCTCATCCAGGTCGGCGTGACCTAGGCCATGTTCCGCCATATTCATCATGCCACAACAGTGGTTCTCATGCTGGTGGCTGTCCGGCTTCCCCGAGTGGATCTGACGTAGACTCTTGGCAACCAGCGGGTAGGTGTTCACATGCTGTAGATTGAATGAGGTACAAATCAAACTGGAAATGAACTGATTAACAAACAAATCCCCTCTTTATGCACCCATATTTATGAAAACTCTCTCATACATCATGCACAACTCTTTCATACAACATGCACAACTCTCTCATACAACATGCACAACTCTTTCAAACAACATGCACAACTCTCTCATACATCATGCACAACTCTCTCATACAATATGCACAACTCTCTCATACATCATGCACAACTCTTTCATACATCATGCACAACTCTCATATAACATGCACAACTCTTTCATACAACATGCACAACTCTCTCATACAACATGCTCAACTCTCTCATACATCATGCACAACTCTCATATAACATGCACAACTCTCTCATACAACATGCACAACTCTCTCATACAACATGCACAACTCTCTCATACAACATGCACAACTCTCTCATACAACATGCACAACTCTCTCATACATCATGCACAACTCTCTCATACATCATGCACAACTCTCTCATACAACATGCACAACTCTCTCATACAACATGCACAACTCTCTCATACAACACGCACAACTCTCTCATACAACACGCACAACTCTCTCATACATCATGCACAACTCTCTCATACAACATGCACAACTCTCTCATACAACATGCACAACTCTCTCATACATCATGCACAACTCTCTCATACAACATGCACAACTCTCATACAACATGCACAACTCTCATACAACATGCTCAACTCTCTCATACATCATGCACAACTCTCATATAACATGCACAACTCTCTCATACAACATGCACAACTCTCTCATACAACATGCACAACTCTCTCATACAACATGCACAACTCTCTCATACATCATGCACAACTCTCATATAACATGCACAACTCTCTCATACAACATGCACAACTCTCTCATACAACATGCACAACTCTCTCATACATCATGCACAACTCTCTCATACAACATGCACAACTCTTTCATACAACACGCACAACTCTCTCATACAACATGCACAACTCTCTCATACAACATGCACAACTCTCTCAAACAACATGCACAACTCTTTCATACAACATGCACAACTCTCATACATCATGCACAACTCTCTCATACATCATGCACAACTCTTTCATACAACATGCACAACTCTCTCATACAACATGCTCAACTCTCTCATACATCATGCACAACTCTCATATAACATGCACAACTCTCTCATACAACATGCACAACTCTCTCATACAACATGCACAACTCTCTCATACAACATGTACAACTCTCTCATACAACATGCACAACTCTCTCATACAACATGCACAACTCTCTCATACATCATGCACAACTCTCTCATACATCATGCACAACTCTCTCATACAACATGCACAACTCTCTCATACAACATGCACAACTCTCTCATACAACACGCACAACTCTCTCATACAACACGCACAACTCTCTCATACATCATGCACAACTCTCTCATACAACATGCACAACTCTCTCATACAACATGCACAACTCTCTCATACATCATGCACAACTCTCTCATACAACATGCACAACTCTCATACAACATGCACAACTCTCATACAACATGCTCAACTCTCTCATACATCATGCACAACTCTCATATAACATGCACAACTCTCTCATACAACATGCACAACTCTCTCATACAACATGCACAACTCTCTCATACAACATGCACAACTCTCTCATACAACATGCACAACTCTCTCATACATCATGCACAACTCTCATACAACATGCACAACTCTCTCATACAACATGCACAACTCTCTCATACAACATGCACAACTCTCTCATACAACATGCACAACTCTCTCATACAACATGCACAACTCTCTCATACATCATGCACAACTCTCTCATACAACATGCACAACTCTCTCATACATCATGCACAACTCTCTCATACAACATGCACAACTCTTTCATACAACACGCACAACTCTCTCATACAACATGCACAACTCTCTCATACAACATGCACAACTCTCTCAAACAACATGCACAACTCTTTCATACAACATGCACAACTCTCATACATCATGCACAACTCTCTCATACATCATGCACAACTCTCTCATACATCATGCACAACTCTCTCATACAACATGCACAACTCTCTCATACAACATGCACAACTCTCTCATACAACATGCACAACTCTCTCATACAACATGCACAACTCTCTCATACAACACGCACAACTCTCTCATACAACATGCACAACTCTTTCATACAACATGCACAACTCTCTCATACAACATGCACAACTCTCTCATACAACATGCACAACTCTTTCATACAACATGCACAACTCTCTCATACAACATGCACAAACTCTCTCATACAACACGCACAACTCTCATATACAACATGCACAACTCTCTCATATAACATGCACAAGAGACAATGACCTGACATTATATCTATCTTCAAAATAGAAAGGTAAGTATGAAGGACAATCTGAAACAATCTTAAGGCTGGATAATTATTTCCAAAGATGCTGAAAAAGTATTTGTCCCTAAACAAATCATTCACTGGTGTGAGTGAGTGAGAGAGTTTGGTTTAACGCCACTTTGAACGGTATTCCCATTATGTTATGGCATGTAAGCTTAATGTTGGAGGAAACCACGAAGTTATGCAGGTCTCAGACGTTAACTACTTTGGTGAAAAACACGAGCACGGGTATGGTGCTGACAAACCAAGAAACATAATCAGGGCGAATCGGGATTCGAACCCATGATCATAAGTCTCTGCCATGCCCAAGGGACGCAACTCTGGACAGCGAATTGCAGCACCTTAGAGTGAGTGAGTTGGGTTTAACAGTATTAACAGTATTCCAGTTATATCACGGTGTGTCAGCTTAATCATGTTAGTGTGGGAGGAAAGCCCGAAGTGATGCAGAGTATGAGTAAGCACGAGTATGGTGCTGACAAACCTAGAAACATAATCGGGGCAAACCTGGATTCGAACCCCCAACAAAGGTTTCTGGCGTGCCCAAAGGGAGGCAACTCTACACAGCGAATCGCGGCGCCTTAGACAACTGGGCCACCCGTGCCCCCCACAGCGCCTTAGACGACAGGGCCATTGTGATAAATTATGTACAGTGTGCAGGCACCTCATTAGGCAGCAATCACTATTTAGTCTGTCCACTTGACAAAAACAACAATGCGCCACTCTTGACTCAAGCTTCTTAATTCACAGCATCATAATGTAAGTAGCACCATTAGGTTTTGATTCCATTGATCCGACTTCGATTACCACGTTGATGTAACCAGGTGCCGCCATGTCTTTTCACAGTATTTTATTTTTTAATAATGATTACCATTACAGTTGGATCAAAAGATAAATACGTAATGGGTTGAACATTTTGTTTGAATTGCTCTGTAGCTTTACAGCTGTTACATGTGTTGAGTGAGTGAGTGAGTATGATTTTACGCCGCTTTTAGCAATATTCCAGCATGTCCAGCAAGATCACGGCGGGGGACACCAGAAAAGGGCTTCACACATTGTACCCATGTCGGGAATCGAACCCGGGTCTTCGGCATGACGAGCGAACGCTTTAACCATTAGGCTAACCGACCGCCCCTACATGTGTTGAGAATGGTACGAAATATACTTGCACTTTCCAAAACTGTCAATGTGGCAATGCCAACTTGGAAATAAAGGCACCAAATTATCTAGTAAAGTCAAAGTTGGGGCCCAGTCCAAGGTTCAAGATAGCGCTGTGTATTTTTCTCTCAAATTCCAGATAAGCATGCAACTGGAGAATAGGTTTGAGATATCGGTACATTAGAGATAACAGAGTTTGAGATAACGAGGTTCGACTGTATTTATATCCTCATAACCAAAAGGGCCAAATTAGTTAGCCTGCTTTACATGTCCCCACTTGAAATCTTATTAAACTGCCTTGTGTATGTTTTCATTACAAAATATATGGAGGGATTTTATAAGATTCTGAACTACGTGACTTTGGCAAGCAAATTGAAAATAAAAATCAGTATTGTGTTAATATACCTGTTCTTTTATCAGCGATATACAATTTCCTCTACAAAGTCATAACATCAGTTATAATTATAATAACATTAATTGGGAAATTGTTAATTCCAATGAAGGAATTTTTTCTGACATATGCTACAGACTTCATATAAATCCTTGATATGTCTGTAACAAACACAGCTGTTTACCTTGATATCACAGATGAACTCAGACACCTCTCCCTCCTTCATTGTTTGAAGACACATCTCCCACACCTCCAACTTAAACTTCTTGCCAAGGATAATCTCCAGAGGCTTGGGATGTTTCCGACTGTCATCAAGGACTGTCTTGGTTTCGTCACATTTGCTCGTCTTGTAATGGAAAGTAAGCTGAAAACCCAATTCAGTCCACATTTAACCATTTTTTAACTGAGCACATCCTAGGTGAGGTGACCTTTCATTTTCAAGTAAGCATATTGAACCTGAGCAGCTGAGGTATGTAACCATGGCAACTTAGATCCTAATTTGGCATGTGCACAGTCTTTGATAAAATAGGCTTTTAATGTCTATACCTATCATGTGTCCATTGTCTAGATGAAGAAATTATGTATAACAAAAACATGATAATTAATATTGAGACTTGTACCTACTTCGAACCATGGTTGCATGCATGTATTATTTGTATTGTTCCCCCAATAATGAGTAAATGTTGTTTACTGACATATCTCCAGATTTTAGAGTTTGTAGATATGGACTTTTATTAGTTAAATTTACTGCATTAAAATATATTTGACTAGACTCATGCTTTTGACCATGTTGCTAAAGCGAATCACATGCTGTCAAACACCCTGATCATTTGTCCATTGCATTTATTCATGTTTAAATTCAAACAAACTGCCGCCCCTGTTTTACGCTGAGATAACCTACATGCGAGTGCAGGTGCGAGTGCCACTTTGTAACCAGTCTTTATCATGATTATTTGATCCAGAATATTTTGAAACTCTTTCTTCATGTTCTTTCAGATTACTTCTTTTTAATGAAATGATTTTAATTATATTGGACTGTATTATTTCCCCTTTCTAGTCATAATTTAAGGTGTTTCCATACAACATCCGAGCTAGCAGTACTCATGAAACCTAAAATATTGCATTATACTGTTATAATTAATGAACTTATTACGGAATACGGACGATTATAATATCCTTCAGAATTTCAACAGACGTCTGTACAGACAATCAATAGAATGCATAGATAACGGCACAACAACATAGTCATTCACATATATTGATTAATTGGTTCTGGAAAGAATCTATAGTGTAATGGCGACAGACACCGGATTCAGAATATGGAGGTGCCTAATCGTCGACATGGTCAAACCTAAATACTGCACTGTCTATACAACGAATCTATCCATCCACTTGTCAGTGACAATAATTGAAATGTCTACCCTTGATCCATCCTTAAAAGGAGGAAGATTGCCCTTCCCAGCATACAAGATCTTCTTGATTATACCGTCCTTTTGCAAGTTGAACAGAATGTCAGCCATGTTGTTTACACATTTCAAGTTTGATATTAGAGTTATCTGCCCTTATTTGTTCCGGTGAGAAAATATATATGGGATTTTACTGTTACTTCCTACAATTGTCACTATGTGCTCGAGAGATGACACAGTGTGACACAGTGTGGTTGATAAACTTGTATACCCGAGTCCGAGTTCGATATTTTAATACTTTTTTTGTGAAATTATATAACAAAAGATATATGCATGTTTCTTTTATCATAATTCAAATCAATGCATGTCACTATACTTTGATATTATTTACTGTCAATTCAAAGTTTAGATATCAATAAATCTGATGTATTTGTAATGATCATTTGTGATATCAATAAATGCGTTTATTAATATCTAAATATCGAGTTTGTGAAATCAATAAATTAATAATCTTATATCACAAAACTGGGTATAAATACTAAAACAGCGCCTCACAGTTGTAGGTCAAGAATAGATCAATTAGTATGGCATTTTGTCCAAGCCCGAACAGATAGATACATCTGGAATAGATATTCAAGCACATTGAAGTTAATGATGGCCTTACTTCAAACTGACAGAACCATCAAATAGAAATGCTTGACAAAACTACTCCCCAGCAATGAAAGAATATTTCCATTAAGCAGAGGACTGCTGTGGAGAGTGGATACATGTATTCGTTATTGAACCACGTTGACTTGATACAAGCACTAGATGTTCACATCAGTGAATGTATTAAAAAGGAATAGCTGACTTTGGTTGTTTAGATGCTAATCCTATAGATTTCAATTATTGTTAACAGAAAAATCAACTGATCCACAGGGTCCATTCAGGTTGTGATTTTTTCTAAGGTTTAATTTCCAGTAGTTAGCATCATCCAGAGGCAAGGGAGATACTGACTGTAAAAGTCCAGTTTCCACCCTTGCCGAACTAGGCTGGAATTTCCGGCTTAATCATAGCGCCACCAGTGGCTAATTTGAGTTATGTCCCTTCTATGTACCTCCTATTGACCAATCAGAATCCACCTCTTATATCAATTGCATTTGCTTAAAAACAAAAATGGTGATGCCCAGTGAAGACAATTGGATCGATAATCAAGATCTATACTGTAATAAAACGGATTTGCTTCACCAATCTATATCCATATTTTAGAAATTTAAATAGTAACTATAACAGATTGTATATATTTATTAGATTTTATGTTATACTTGCTTATGTTGTACTTTCATTGTTTCAGGCTGAAGTAAATATGTACGTACGTAAGTCCATGCATCAATACAAACATAAATAAACTCATCAGCCTCACCCCCCACAGCTGTTGGTGATTATTGGGTAGTAGATCACCTACTCTACTATCGGCTAACACAAGCACGGTTACAATAACAAGAAAAGATTTGGTAAATATCTGCTGATGCTGAATTGTCGGTACACATGCTTTGCAAATGCTGCAATTGGCCGGGTAGTTTACAATCCGGATGTCGATTTCGTTTTGCAATTTTTATTGACTAAGCATAGACTTGTTAGTCTGGCCAAAATGTAAACACCATAATTCCGGCAAGGGTGGAAACTGGACTTTTATAGTCAGTTAACTCCCTTGCCTCGGGAAGATGGTAGTTAGGGATAAGATGTGACTGTGCATACATCCCAATGGGGCCCACATTCCGAAGTCCTGAACATGGGTTGTATGAAAACATATTGCCCAGGGCAGTCCTGACCCTACCCCAACACATTTCAATGTGGAGGTTTACATGTCTTCTTGATGGGTGTTGATCAAATACAGAAGAAGGTATTGACTGAGATCTTTTATTTCCTATTTACATGTTCGTTCAAATCTGACCAGCGGGACAGCAGCTGGTGTGGATCAAACAACAGCCATTTCCTTTGCTGCAATCCTTGTCGTGATGCTGTCCAGAGGAGATCCTACAGTCAGCTCCTGCTCTGTAAGCTTGTACACCTGGAACAACAAGACCAACCAAGTAATGGTGTGACAACTAATACGTGGAAGATTAGCAAGAATATATATATATATATATATTTATAGCTCCAGTTCTAAGGCAAATGTCTTTAATATTTTTCCCACTGAAATTTAATATTTTACAATCAGGCAATGATTAATGCATTCAGTTAAATACTAAAACACCTCTGAAAATAAGAAATTAAGGAATCTAAAAATATTCCCAATTTGGGACAAATCAAGACTTTTCCTAATTTGTTTGTGACAGACACATCCTGACTGGACAGATGAACACAAGAAAACACAATTTTCTGAAACTAAATACAGTGTCGTCCCTAAATTCCAGAATATGACAATCAGGTTCACTTTATTGCTTTTATCTGCACTGCAAAATATTAACGATAAAGTTATGTTTAATCTTGAACTAACCTTTTTGACCATATCAGAGTCTGTGAGCTCGCCAACTTCTGTGACATCAACCAGTTTTCCCTGTACCTTCTCTGTCACTGTTGCCAGTGTGCTGCCGTTGTTGTCATTCATGATCACAACTAAAGCTGAAGTATCCGAGTCACCCAAACCAAACTTCTTGAATGAATCTGAAATCTTTAAAAAAACAAAGGAGACAAAATGAATAAAAAATATCATTCATCAACGAAATTTTCATACAAATGATACACCAAATAAATAATATACCACAAATAAATGATAAACCACTTTAGATGTCAAGACAACTGCAATTTTACCTACTGTTCTGCTGATCCAAGTTTGTTGTTTAACGCCGCACTCAGCAATATTCCAGCTATATGATGGCGGTCAGTAAATAATCAAGTCTTGACCAAACAATCCAGTGGTTGACATCATGAGCATCAGTCTATGCAATTGGGATATGGTGACATGCATCAACCAAGTCAGCAGGCCTGACCACCAAATTTCTTTAGTCGCCTCTTACAACAAGCATGGGTTGCTGGAGACCAATTTTAGCCAGGATCTTCACGGGTAGCTGATCCAAGTAATTCTCGAGTTGATGTTGTAGGTTGTTAGTACAATATATGATTACTGAAGCCCTGCTACCCATGAACAGACAGTTGAGACAAACACCCAGGGTAGTACAAACTATACAACCATGGGATTATAGGTCATAGAGAGATACGTTGGTAGATGTCACATGGTCAATACAAACTCAGTAAAATCAGATCTTAGTTCTCATTAGTGCTAAACAAAGATCTGAGGATATCCCATTACAGATCACATCAGAACGACCTTTCATCCAACCAGTCAGAGAGTTGCTTACTAGATTGCAAAGTGACAGCTTGGATGGATTCTCTTGAGTCAATGGGATAAACATTTGAAAAGGAAGAGACTTTCCATAGCCCATGGAAAGTACTGTAATTTCGAAAATCTTTTAGACATTCCAGAAGTTTCTTTTTTTCAGCTTCAAATTTGGAAGAATTGAGAAATATTTTTCAAAGGGTAGTCTGGAATGGAATAAGGTGCTGTGTAGCTCTAGAAATCAATTTCTAATTGGGTACTAAATAATCTTGACTTCTTGTTATTCATTTCTTTGATCAGTCAAAGTTCGCAGAATGGTGTTCTGACATGACCCCATGATTAGATGCCCCCAGATCTTTGGGGTAGTGGCGATCACTAAATCTGACTTTAATGAGATTGATGGCGAATATAATATACCATGTACATCATAAAAGTTTTGTTTGTTGCTTAACATTGCACACAGGGACAATCAAGTAACTTATAATGGTTCACTTAAGGATACATGATCAAAATGTTGTGAACTACTTGTAACCAGCTTATCTGGGGAAAACACTTTCAACACAACTGCAATAGGTAGAAAGGAAGCTTGAGAAAGAACTATTCTTACATTTTTTGTGGGTGAAAGACAGAAGAGAATCTCTGTGTGGACATTTCTTGTCATCATTCTCCCACTGCGGTGTAAATGCTCAGCTTTATTGGCAGCTACAAGGACTTGAAATGGATCAACAATCTGAAACATACAATAAACAACAACAGTGAGTTATTTTTAATACTGTTTCGAACGTTATTATGGTTATCAATAGCATAGTGTTGTATCAGCTTGATGGGGACAAAATCTCAAAGTACTTTCTGAGGAACCATGGAACCTAATTCAGGCCAGACCATTCTATGATTCGAACCTACAACCAATGCCATCCTTGGATCCAGTTGGGGTGTGTTGGGGAGGCGGAAACCAAGATTTTGGCAAACTAAACATTTATACATTCAAACATTATATATGCAGTTTGGTATCCTGGTATGTACACATATAAGTACACATATAAGTGCACAATGACTAACCTGTCTGGAGATATATTTTCAACACAATTACAGAATGCAGTTGTCAAATAATACACCCATCCTTTCTATAAATCTGCATCAACTTTTGAACATTTACAGTTGTCAGTTTTCCAATCAATCTTTAAAAAAAAGTTAAAACCTCAAAGGTGATAATTCAACTAGATCTACACCTACTCCAAGCCTATTTTAGGCTTACACTGTTTTGGAAAGAAAAGAAGACAAATGTTCGGTGAAGTGTCAAAGACTGTTGTTAAAAGCTTATCTAAAGTCAAATATTATTAAATGGAATCTTTCGTCTACATATTTGCTTTTAAATATCTTTCATTATACACTGGCAGCGTCGAAAATGCAATGAGGGATATTTTAAGTCGCTTCGCTAAATTTGTTGTCAAAAAGTAACCTTAGCGGCTGACCCGGTGTTGCATTTACGAACCATTACTGGTTTCAAAAGAGAAGCCTCGAACTCCCCCTTCATGACATGTTGTCGAAGCTCAGCGGCATTTGTAACCTCTCGAAACAACGCCATGGTGATAGTTGCATCAGGATACAGAGCATGGTTGACCACAGTGGCAGCCATATTGCGACAAGAAGTGCATGGACCGTTTCGTGATTGATGAGCCAAACAAACAATGCACATTAAATCATTCTTATCAGGCACAGGATCATGTGATACCTTTTGTGTAACTGATCCAATGCCTTTTCTTTAAACAGAATATATTATACGTGTATCCGTTTCTTTATGCCTCTTATCTGTGTTAAGAAAATATACACACACGAAACGGTGTACGGACTGGTCCCCAAGACACGGAAGCTCACGTGGTTGCTTGGCCGCAAAATTGCAAATACTTTCAAAATGGTTTGGAGAGCTAGAATCGGATATTTCATTCGGACATACGGGTTGGGAACAGCTGGTGCGATAACTGCATTAAGTATTTTATTACACGAGAAATCAAAAGATAAAAACGTTGCTTATTCAGCAAAACGTGAATGGTCCTACTCATTTGAACCCAGTGTGAAATGGGACTACAACTGGGACAGGTACGAGAGCTACTATTTATTCTTAGGCTAGCTACTTAGTATATTGTAGTAGAATACATCATTGACTCCTTCCCTGGAGAAGATTGTGATGATCATTTAATCGATATCAATGTCATGATGATGTGTCGGGGTCGTCTGCACAGTAAACAGGTATCCTGTTTAACAAAAACACATTAAATTGTTCATTTCTCGTGCTGTAATATTAACAGCTCTGACAACAGGATTGTGTTGTTGTTTTTATGATAAACAGAACACTTGCAGTATGTGCAGTTTTGATTTTGTAAAGATCTCTTAAATTACTGAAGTTTGGCATGTATGGTTCTCCCTAATATGATGACATATGTTTGTTCAAATCATTCAGATTTTAATGTTGTTGTAAAACAGTTGTAAAAATTGTATGGCATGATTGGAGAAAGTAGTGTCCATGGAATGTTTTTAGGTGGCTGTATTTGTTGACAGCATGTGTCCAGGTGAGCTACAGTGCCGTAAGTCCAGGATATTTATCATAATAGAATGAAGATATAAGACCCAGGATAATCACAATTGTTTGCTGTTACTGATTACTCTTAGAACAGCTTGAATTAAACTTGCTGGGCCTGCTAGTTGCCCCCCTTTAGGCCACTATGTACTTAATGTACTGAGAACTGCTGCTTTAACAATACAAAGTATAAGTTGTCATATTAAGTGAAATCAGTGAAAAGAAACAGTTCCAAAAAGGAATGGATGGAATAAATTTGAAGATTATTTGAAGTTTATATGAAGTTTATTTCATCTGTGTTTCAGACGTGAGCCAGAAAACCTTGTGAAACCCTCCAAACAAAACACAGAGAAGGATCCAGATACAGTAGCAAATGAACTGAAATCCAAGACTGCAACAGCTACACGTCATCTGTTGCTGATTCGTCATGGACAGTACAACATGGAGTCCTCGGATGACATTGGCAGATTCCTCACCAAACTGGGTACATGTCATGCCAGGAACAGCATTCCTGTTTCAGTTTTTTTATCTTCCTGGGGGATAGGGGTACCAGTCATCTATGGTGTGGCAATTTGCTGTGCAGTTACATCCCTTGGGCATGCCAGAAGCTTATGATTGTAGTTTCGAATTTCAGTTTGCCCCAAATATGTTTCTAGGTTTATGAGCACCCCTACCCATGCTCATGTGGTGCACCAATGTGATAAGCAACTAGACCTGTATCATTTGAGGCTTTCCTCCAACATTAAACATTTAAAAAGTGGAATACTGTTCAGAGAGACATTAAACCCAACTCACTCACTCCTCCTCGAGTCTGTATTCAGACCCTGTATCTTCCTAGAGTCCTGTGGATCCAGCCTTAGCCTAGAAACACCAACAATGCACAAGTCCTTCACGAGATTATTTTCAAGCTAGTCCTTTTTTGGTTTGGTTTGTTGTTTTACGCTGCACTCAGCAATATTCCAGCTATATGATGGCAGTCTGTAAATAATCGAGTCTGGACCAGACAATCCAGTGTTTGATATCATGTACATCGATCCATGCAATTGGGATCGATGACATGCATCAACCAAGTCAGCGAGCCTGACCACCCAATCCCGTTAGTTGCCTCTTACGACAAGCATAGTCACCTTTTATGGCAAGCATGGGTTGCTGAAGATATTCATAACGTATTCCAGTTGCATGGAGCGATGCTCATTATGTCAATCCCTGGATTGTCTGATCCAGACTCGATTATTTACAGACCACTGTCATATAGCTGGAATGAGTGCTGAGTACAGCGCTCAACAACACAGAAAGAAAAAAAATCTTTGTGTCTGCAGATATTAAGAAATATTACCATGGAATTTGCAGGCACACATGAATATGTTCAGTTAGAAAATGGGATCTGCCATTTGCTTTTTGTGTCAAATCCATTGTTTGAACCCCACAGGCCAAGAACAAGCAGACATTACCGGCAGGCGTCTGAAGGATCTGAACCTACCCTACACCGTCTTGATCTCATCAACAATGACACGAGCAAAGGAGACAGCTGACATTATTCACAAGCATGTGCCTCACTTGTCTATACAACGGAACGACTTGTTGCGAGAGGGTGCACCAATACCCCCAGAGCCTGCCTCAGCTCATTGGAGGCCAGAAGTAGCGGTAGGTCCACACTTAGATCTGCATAGTAGTCTGAAGCTCTCGACTTACTAGTCTGTAGCTCTCGACTTAGTAGTCTGTAGCTCCTGACTTAGTAGTCTGTAGCTCCTGACTTAGTAGTCCGTAGCTCCTGACTTAGTAGTCTGTAGCTCTTGACTTAATAGTCTGTAGCTCTTGACTTAGTAGTCTGTAGCTCCTGACTTAGTAGTCTGTAGCTCTCGGCTTACTAGTCTGTAGCTCTCGACTTAGTAGTCTGTAGCTCCTGACTTAGTAGTCTGTAGCTCTCGGCTTACTAGTCTGTAGCTCTCGACTTAGTAGTCTGTAGCTCCTGACTTAGTAGTCTGTAGCTCTCGGCTTACTAGTCTGTAGCTCCTGACTTAGTAGTCTGTAGCTCCTGACTTAGTAGTCTGTAGCTCCTGACTTAGTAGTCTGTAGCTCTCGGCTTACTAGTCTGTAGCTCCTGACTTAGTAGTCTGTAGCTCTCGGCTTACGAGTCTGTAGCTCTGGCTTACTAGTCTGTAGCTTTCAACTTAGTGGTCTGTAGCTCCTGACTTAGTGGTCTGTAGCTCCTGACTTTGTAGTCTGTAGCTCCTGACTTAGTAGTCTGTAGCTCCTGACTTAGTAGTCTGTAGCTTTCAACTTAGTGGTCTGTAGCTCCTGACTTAGTGGTCTGTAGCTTTAAACTTAGTAGTCTGAAGCACTCGACTTAGTAGTCTGTAGCTCCTGACTTAGTAGTCTGTAGCTCGCATTTTAGTAATCTGTAGCTCTCGACTTTGTAGTCTATAGCTCGTGACTTAGTAGTCTGTAGCTCGCATGTTGTAATCTGTAGCTCTCGACTTAGTAGTCTGTAGCTCCTGACTTAGTAGTCTGTAGCTCGCATGTTAGTAATCTGTAGCTCTCGGCTTTGTAGTCTATAGATCATGACTTAGTAGTCTATAGCTCGCGACTTAGTAGTCTGTAGCTTTCAACTTAGCGTCAAGAGTCATTTGTGCAGTCAGCACCATATTTAGTATACTGTATGTACATGATGGTTTTCAGATATCAGGATGTTTCATTGGAAAATGTCAATGTTTATTAATGAGGCTTTCATGAAAAGTGACTTTTTAAGAAAATTGTTGGTACTTGTAAAGATCAGAAAATTCTTGGACTGTCCATGTCAAGTGAAATGTCACATCTCTTGTGATTCATCAGAATACATTGTAGTGTCCAGTAATCTGGAGGATCTCGTCATCACTGTGTGGTTTATTTTAGTTCACCCATTGAGTGCACCATTCTTACAATGTCTTACTTCTAGCAGTTTTACAAAGAAGGGGCCAGAATTGAAGCAGCCTTTCGAAAATATTTCCACCGAGCTGAGCCGGACCAGACGGAGGACAGCTACGAGATCATCGTCTGTCACGCTAATGTCATCCGCTACTTTGTCTGCAGGTAATTGAGGTCTTTAACTGTGATCTGTTCTTTCTTTGTGCACTGTGTGTTTGTGGATTTCCATGGGGCTGCTACTGTACTTTGCATGTGATAAAAAATATGTTTTACATCTAGACCAAGAGTTGCATCCCTTGGACATGCCAGAAAGTTTCATTCTGAACAGAGCTCTATATTTTCCTGAATTGCATATAATTACATTCAACAGATTTAAAATTTAAGAGCATGTCCAGTTCGTTATTTTTGTCGTTGTTTTCAGAGCCCTGCAGTTCCCTCCCGAGGGTTGGCTACGAATGTCTCTCGCTAACGGCAGCATCACGTACCTCGTCATCCGTCCCAGTGGCCGAGTCCACATCAAGACTCTCGGGGAGAGCGGGCACATGCCCGTAGATAAAGTCACCTACACATAGACTCAGTCATTCCGGCAGGGATTATTTAGTCATCAGTAATACGCGGGTTTGTATATACTACATTCCTCCATGGCGCATCACAGATGAAATCTCGGATCATTTCGTTTTCTGATCAACCAGGTCATCTTCTATGGTGGTGGTCTTTGTGACACCATTTGCAATAAGAACAGTGATCTGATTGGCTATTCCGTCTTCATCACAAGGGAGACAACAAGTGTTCTACACGGCGCGACAACGAAGCCAAGACAAATAGGATTGAAATGTCAAAGTAGAAACTAGGTTTTGACAGAGGCTTTGCCTCGGGAAGATTGGGTTCCTCTTGTTGGAGCTGAGCAGTCATTAGTTAAAATGTAGCAACTACTCTGCAAAGTCAATCTCATTGAAATCAGATCTTAGTTCTTGCTACCGCTAAACAAAGATCTAAGGACATCCCATTACGGGTCACGTCAGCCCGACCTTGCTCGAACTTTGACTTACCAATGGAATGACCAATCAAAAGGCAGCTTTCTCGTGCTTTACAGCACTAATTTGAAATTTGCAACATATTTTGACAAATTCTCGATTACAAACTTGAAACCTAAACAAAAGAGCATTCTGGAATGGCTAATAGATGGTCTAGATTGTATGGATTCAATCTTTAAACCCGTAACTATCGTTCGGAATACGCCGTGTTAAAGTTTTCGAGGTTGTATGATTAGAAATCACATTCCGACTGTCACTTTCATGATCTGGTAAGCGACGCTCTGATTGGTCGGATGAAAGGTCATTCTGACGTGACCCCTAATGGGATGTCTTCAGAACTTTGTTTAGCGGTAGCGAGAACTGAGGTCTGAATTTAATGAGATTGCTGCAAAGTGGACGTATATATTCACGGGTGATGAAGGAACGTAGTATATACAAACCTTTAAAGCTCGACAATGTCATTTATAAAGACATATCAACTGGTAAATGTTTCATGCTTCTGTTCCAAACTTGGTGCTTGGATCTGTTAAATACAACCATTACCTCTATGTCTGTAAGGTTACTTTATATCAACGGTTGTCTGGTGTTTTAGAAAGAGTTAAGTTGAAAGTCATTTTATTGATCTATCTCTGTTGCTAGAGATCTGAAGGTATATTTAAGTCTGTCATTAATGTTTGAGCATGAAAGTGATATTGTTAAATTAAATTTACACTTTTATATTTTTATGAATCTGGCACTGAACCTAGCTTTTGGCATGGTAAGTCTGGATTTGTAACTGAAGTCAGATATTCAGGATATTACTGTTTATCTTGAAATTAATGCATCACCTAATTTATGAGTGTGTCATTTATGAGTGAATGTGTTTAACATGACTGTAGATTCCCTGTTACGACAACTCCAGCATTGTTGCCATGTAAATATTGTGTAAAAAACCTGTCTTGTTTTGTGTTTACTTTTCATAATATGGACCACACTCGTCTGAGGCACAGCAATTCTCTCTGCAGACTCGATTACTTACATGCCACTGTCATATAGCTGGAATGAGTGCTTACGACAAGCATAATCGCCTTTTGCTGAAGACCTTTTCCTACCCCGGATCTTCACGGGTCGGTTCCAATGCATGCATTGCATAAAGGGGCCGCTTAGCCGCCTCGCAATGACACCATGATCCACCATATGATCTCAAATTCAACTCTGATTTATTTTAATCGGTGGCAAAAATAATTGGGCTGTCATATTCAAATTTTGCTGGTCCCAAAGGAAAGTTGACAAAATGCTAAAGAGGTTAATTCAACTGGAAATTAATCCAACTGCTGTACAATATTCATCCAATGGCAAACCCACATCAACAAGCTGACAAATGTCTAGACATACCGGTATGCCACAGTATGGTGATGCACATTTTGACAAACCAACATCTAATAATTTGTGATGTGTACAATCAACATGCTACATTCCTCCATCACCAGTAAATACACTGAACAAGCATCTGTTAGTATACTGAAATTAAATGGTGAGGGATCATGAATATTTGGGGGAATGTTTTTATGAAATTGTGTGCTCAAGATTTTACCCCCCCCAAATATCCCCAAAATATCCATGATCCTAACCACTTCAGTGTACTTACAGATGCTTTGTGTTGTAGTTGCTTTTTCTAAGCAATGAGTGAGTGAGTTGGGTTTAACGCCTCTTTTAACACTATTCCAGTTATATCACAGCGTGTCAGCTTACCGTGGGAGGAAAGCCCAAAGTGATGCAGGTCTCAGACGTTTACCACTTCGGTGAAACCCACGAGCACGGGTATGGTGCTGACAAACCTAGAAACATAATCGGGGTGAACTGGGATTCGAACCCACAATCAGGTTTCTGGCGTGTCCAGGGGACGCAGCTCTGCAAAGCAAATCGCGACGACTGGGCCACCCGTGTCCCCTCTAAGCAATGACTCCATCAAACGCCTGGTTCCATCAGGGGACAACCAATGAGTGCTCTGATGCTCATTTGGGGTGGTCGGGTAGCCTAGTGGTTAAAGCGTTCGCTCTTCACGCTGAAGACCCAAGTTCGATTCCCGACATGGGTACAATGTGTGAAGCTCATTTCTGGTGTCCCCGCCGTGATATTGCTGGAATATTGCTAAAAGCGGCGTAAAACCATACTCACTCACTCTGATGCTCGTTTAGCTTCCGTGAGTTACCGTACACATGGCTGCCATTCACTACCTGACTGAAACTAGACAATCACACCGCATATTGACTAGTGGTGGGACAATACACTGATGCATCGGTGGATCGTGATATTTTACTTCTCGATACAAGTATCGATCACAGTCGCACACTAAGTAAAAAATATCGATTCTTACCTCAAATGTTTGGTTTAATAACTGTTCCAATAAACACTAATCAGTAGTGAAAACCTACATATTTTCAACCATTGCACCATGTTTAACACTGCCAACTGTAAATCATCAGTGTGCCAGGTATTTGGCCATCCTGTCTAAGAGGTGGCTTACAGACCACAGATAAGAGCACATGCAAATATCAGGATACGTACCAAATCGTGTCGGAGGAAGGTAACGTGATAGGTATCCAATCACACGGTTGGTGTATCATCCCAGCCCTCATCTTGACCTAATGTATGCAATGTTGATGGAAGAACATACTGAACATCGGGAGAAATACTTTCTAAAAAAACATAACATAACATTTTGCCTAGTTTCATATATTTATTTCTGAATATACACAGGTCTTGTGTACAACCAGGGGTTTTATCAGTACAAAATATACATACAACAAACATATCTCATGGTGTGCTTTTAAAACTGTGAACAAAATGTGAAAACTGCCATGTCGAGTGCCCGACACTACGAACACCGTCTCTTCTTAAGTAGGGTCATTTTAATCAGTTCACTTAATGTTTCATCCAAGTTCGTATAAAACATACAATACCATAGCATAATCGTATTAAATGTTTACTAAATGGGATCTTGCACAAATTTGTGGGACCTCTCTGCTGCATCAACAATCAAGTGACAACATGGGTCGCCATGATACTGGAGAGCTGCATATTTAATGCTGTTTGTGTTGAAAATAAATTGGATGCACGTGTAGCAATGAATATACTATATTTAATGAAATTAATTTCAAAGTGTAATGTAAAAAATAACATACACAATCGATTGCTTTATGATCTTCTTACGCTAGCATTTGGAGACTCGTTTCAGTTGGGGCATTCCATATCTACTTTTAACGGATGGGTTCTCAGGAAGTGCCACCTTCTGTCACTTGTGGAAGAGTACTGTACTGTATTCAGTTTCTGTCATTTCTCTGTGACCCCCATGTTGTGGCTTGGGAACCCCCGTTTCTACACTGGAACCACTAAAAGTAACGGGATGAAGTCCCCTGGACCATCAAATAAACAAATAATATAACCCAGGTACATCCCTGTCTGTTGACTAATCTGTGCAGTCCAAATCTTAGACTATCAACCTACACACATCACGTGTGAGGCACTGTTATCAGAGCCACTGATATAACTACAAGATATTGACATCACTTCTGGACATATTTTATTTCAAGAAAACAAGTCAACATTCCATATAGCCTTGATTATCCAGTGTGATATATCTCCATTCTATTATCATGATTATGATAAATTCTGTTCTTAGTAAGATAGGAGTGATGGCGACATCACTCCCTAAACGAAGCCATGGTGGCAAATTAATGAGTGAGGATGGTTTTACGTCGCTTTAGCAATGTTCCAGCAATGTCACGGCAGGGGACACCAGAAATGGGCTTCACATTGTACCCACGTGGGAGTGACGAGTGAAAGCCTTAACCCCGAGGCATAATAGAATTGAGTGAGTGAGTGAGTTGGGTTTTACGCCGCTTTAAACAGTATTCCAGTTATATCACGGCGTGTCAGCTTAATGTGGGAGGAAAGCCCGAAGTGATGCAGGTCTCAGACGTTTACCACTTCGGTGAAACCCACGAGCACGGGTATGGTGCTGACAAACCTAGAAACATAATCGGGGTGAACCGGGATTCGAACCCACAATCATAGGTTTCTGGTGTGCCCAAGGGACACAACTCTGCACAGCGAATCGCGGCGCCTTAGAAGACTGGGCCACCCGTGCCCCCTAACAGAATACAGATATAGCACACTTGACAATGGAGTGAGTAACAGCCTGTGTCTTCTTCCGTTGTAAAATCCGGGTAAAAGTCTATGATACCATTCTGATCCTTTAGTTTTGAGTTTCTGGGATCATTGAGGGAGACAACTCCGTCAGTACGAGGCTGTCATTATCGCCTGTTAAATACAGCATCCAACATCTCAAAATCCAACTGTGGAATATCAGACTCCGCAAACATTCTTTGTCACATGAGAATCTGGCCATCAGAGTCAACTCGCATTCTGTCACATGGGTACTCGACTCCACCCATAATCTGTGTCACATGACCACGAGACTCCATCCACATTGTACGTCACATGACCACGAGACTCCATCCACATTCTACGTCACATGACCACGAGACTCTGCCCACATTCTACATCACATGACCACGAGACTCCGCCCCAATTTATGTCACATGACCACGAGACTCCGCCCACATTCTACATCACATGACCACGAGACTCCGCCCCAATTTATGTCACATGACCACGAGACTCCGCCCACATTCTACATCACATGACCACGAGACTCCGCCCACATTCTACATCACATGACCATGAGACTCCGCCCACATTCTGCATGACATAGCCCCTGCCTCATGAGCCACCTTCACTTCCCTGAGTTGCAGAAGGCTGATGTTCTGGACTGTGTCTCTGACAAAACAGAAAGGCATGCATGTATGAGTTGATTACACCGATCTGGACCATACACCTGTACTTAAAACTCTAAATTATGCTGCAAGTTAGAATTGCCTAATAAAAAGCATGCCTTGAATTTTAAAACAATTTCAATAAATCAGATCTTTTACATAATACAGCATCCCCCCACGTGAAGATCTGATGACACCTACAAACAAACCTTAAAAATAAAATGTCTGCATGAAGATCAGGGGAGATTTGATTTTAATGAGATTGGCCTTGACAGAAATTAGTGTTTTTGTTTTATAGTTTGGGCATCTAACAACTAACAAAA